AATTTTTCTAAATACACACCATTGTATTATACCATGGACAATTTTTTCTCACTAAAGGAAGCTATTTTTCATTTAAAAACAACCTACGAGTACTAAATTTCAAGTAAATACGTTTATTGGTTTTAAAGTTATTGTTGTTATTAACTAAAAGAATTTAATTTTTTTTAATTTTAACACCCTATATCTCGAAAAGTAAATAAGTTTGACCCCTCATTAACTATATCGTTTTGTTCAATTCTTCGAGAAGTATCTACAGTCAAACGTTGTAAGTGTCATTTGGAAACACCCTGTATGTATGAAATATTAGATATTTAATAGAAAATATTAGATACTTACAATTTTGCCACAGACTGAACAGTAGATTTTTCCCATATCCATAGACAGCTTTTTATAAGGTTTAATCCAAGTTGAAGCACTGGTTGTTTTAGGCATTATAAAATCACAATCTTCCTTTTTGTTACGCACAACGAGTGTTTACGCTTTGAATATCAAAACAAAAATGATTTACAAATCTGAGCATCAAATTAGAAATGTTTAGGTACCTAATTCAATAAACTGGGAGATTTTGGAAAATCCCTAAATTAGGAACAAAACTATTAGCCGTTTACCTGCTGTTAAGATACAATAAATTGTAGATAGATTTGAGGATTAGATCATAAAATGCAAATGAGCGAACCCTTAGCGATTATCCAATAACTGAATGCCTCAGTGACCGAGACTTTCTAAGAATGTTGAGGGCTACTTAAATTGATCTTCTTTGAAATTGTAAATGTTTTGTACCTGTAGAGATTACGTACTTAGATCATTTCTTGATTAAAATGACTACAAAATTTTATACAAGAATTGAAATAAATTGGTATGTTTAAAAATTTTCAAATACAGTATAAAAATCTGAACTTTTATGCACTTTATGCAAACTTTTATACAAATATGCCAAAATATGAAATATTTGCATAAAATATGCACAATATGCAAAATATGCAATATGCATATTTGCCGAAGTCTAGTTATCACCTTATCACAAATACAGACAGGGGAGTTAAGTATTCCAATTTTATATAAGTGGGATGGAAAGCGACCATGGTAACCCATGGTAGCAGAATCGCCCATATTAATATGGCTAAATAGGTATTTAAAAGACCTTTCAAATAATTTATCACACATTTCATTTAAACACCCACATTTTCATTTAAAAATTTTAGCAACGACGTCATTACGCTTATGTAGTTGATGTCAAAAATAAAAAGGTATCCGTACGAATAGCCTATTTAAAAATAAAAATCTACCGGTTTCAGGACTTTTCCCTAAAGTCGCTGGTATACGAAATAACGAATTTATTACTTTCATTTGCACCATACTGTATAGTTAAAACATTTATTATTAATTATATATTTCTGAAAAAATCCTTCTGAAAAAATGTTTTTAACAGAAAATAATCTAACCCACTATGTTTAATTTATAGAGTCTGTAAAATGACCCAAAATTGTGTAATAAAATTATTTACATAACGCAGCCAACGTACTTTCGCTTTCGAAGTTTCTTTTGGCCAGTACTCAAAGATCTTACGACTGGACTGGTTTAGTGATAGCAAGTGGGAGTTTTAAATTATTATGTTAAAAACTGTAAGTAACTAAGAAGTTCTTTGAAAATCGCTTGAAAAAATATATAATGCGCTTTATATTTATAAATCTAACCTAAAATGAAAAATATTATAACTACCTAGTGCGTATTTTAAAGTAAATCATTTTTACCGAATTTTCCATTACATATAATGTTTTTGTGGCCTCTTTAGTTTTCATATTTTCTTGTTTTTTTAAAACCAGTTTTAACAACTTTTTCTTAATTTTTACCCATCTTAGTATTTTTTTACAATTTTACACACAAATGTTTTAATATTTTTAAGTAAGCTCATTTTATCAACTTTTAAGTATTGCATTATGTTCTATCATTATATCGTTAATGTTTAATTCGTTTTTTTACTACTTGTCAAGGTTTTTTGTTTGTTAGAAGTTCCAATTATTTTTTTACTTCTTACTAGTATTACTATATCAGTAACAAACTGAAGAGAATGGGTTACAATAAATCACCTTGTCTTTCTCACCTAACATTTTATTACGAGCAAGTAAGGATTGCATACATAAGGACCAAAAAAAAACAAACAAGAATATTATTGTTAGACAAGGAGAAAAGCTCGGGTTCAGTCGGAAAAATCACTTTCAGGAGATACCCCAAAATAAGGATCAAGGGGACTCCCAGACAAAAAGTTGTTCAAATTTTTTAAATAGTTTATTTTAAACAAATTGTAACAATGATTTTTTTGACCTGGATAATTTTTTGGGCCATTCTGAACAAAAAAATTGTCTTGTAATTTTTTTGTAAACTTATTCGTTTTCAAGTTATAGACAATTTAAAACTGAAAAAAAAAACGCAAAATTGCGATTTTCAAGGCTCAAAAACAAAACTAAAAGATTATAATTTTGAATTCACCAAGGACCTAAATTCAAGTTTTAAGCTTGTTCTATTATTTTCATCCTCCTCCTCCTCTATCTTTTATCCTTTGTAAGGATGTGGTGACGTTATGGTATTTGACGAATTGTTGCTATCCATTCTTCTCTCGCCTGGGCGCGGTGCGCTGCCTCAGACAGAGAGTAACCGGTAGTGCACTGTATTTGGTCTGATCATCGGAGTTGCGATCTTCCTCGAGTTCTTTTACCATCTACCTCGCCTTCAACCACCAACCTCTCCATACCTTCCATTTGTCTGATAATGTGTCCAAAGTACCTCAATATATTTTGGTTGATGATTGTGGTAAGCCATACTGATGTCGAGTTCTGTCAATATTAAGACATTTGTGCGATTTGCTGTCCATTCTACGATATACTCACACTTTAAAGGCCATTATACGTCGTGAGTCGGACGTTTTAATGGCTCAAGTTTCTGACACATAGGTAGCGATAGGAAAGATAAACGTCCGTACTAGGCACAGTTTCGTATTCCTGGTTATGTCCGTATCTTTCCAGATTTTAGTAAGTTTGACTGTTGCTGATCTGGCCATTGTAAAGCGTCGACGTATCTCTTCTTCGCATCCACCATTGTTTGTGATAACAGAACCTAACTAATTGAAACGACTTACCAGTTCAAACCCCGCTACCCCGTCTTCTGTACATTAATTTTAAGTCCATATTATAACACCGGCTTTTAGTTTAAAATTATCGGAGTATATGTTGTTCTCTTACAACTCTTACGTTTGCTGTGTTGTTGATATACAGTTTTTTCAGTAGGTATATTAGATGTTCGGGGGTACCCATTTCTCTCAGTATTCCCCACATTTTATGCCACTTTACATTATCAAACGCTTTCGAGTAGTCGAAGCACAAATGTTTTTAGAATAAATTCTCTAGGTTTTTTTTAAAATTTGTCTGAGATTGAGAATTTGTTCTCGTGTGCCTCTTCCAGGGAAAATTGCACATGGTTCTTGTGGGATCTGTGGTAGAAGTATTGATTTTAATCTTTCGTTAATTATAGTAGCAGAACTTTATTTGCGTGGGAGATCAGGGCTAGTGCGGTAGTTATTACAGTCAGTTGGTGAGTCTTTCTTATAGTATTTTCATATAAGTATTTTGACGATAATATATTTTATCGTCTAGAGTACGCCTATGTGTTAAATAAAACACGTTTTTGTTCCGTCTCGAATAGTATAAAAGTCGAAACTGAAAGACAGCTAACCATTTCTCGATGCGTTGACTTGAGAATATCCGACCTTGGGGACAGGTGAGTTGAACGTGTCCCAAATCCTTTCCGAACCCAGTCGATCTGGCGCGCTGAGCGAGATTGACAATCCTTCCTCTGACCGCGTCAATCTGGTGCGTTGAACGAGAGTGGCGTATCCTTTCCATCTAGTGTGTTGAACTAGATAGACATCCTTATCCCCGTCCGATTACTCGTTCTGCGTTGAAGAACGAGTACGACCTCAATTCCTCGATCGTCATATCTTAGTTTATCATATCGAATATCGTCACACCCATCTACCGAAATAAATAAACAGTACGTTCTTGTATTTAAGCATTATATTCAGTAAACATAAACTTAGCGTTAATTACTTTTTTTATTTGTATATGTTAGTTAGAAATAAATGTCTATATGAACGAATCCTGTTTCCCTGTCTGAAATACACTACCGACATCACAATATTTAAATTTTTTTTTTTTTAATATTATTTTTTGTATTTGGCGCTTATTTGTACAATTCTCATTAACTAAATAAGTGCCAGCCCTGTCATGCGCAGAAATAAGACCAGAATTTTTATCAGGAGCTGATAGAAAAAGACTTGGACTTTTTGCACTTATGGTTTCAAAAATGATATCTTTTACTTGTAGTTTTAAGTCTTGAAAATCGTAGTTTTACTCGAGAAAACTTACGACAGATCTTTTTTGTTTATAATGATCTAACAGACCTAAAAAAATGAATCTAATATAGCGCGAATGGCTGGCTGGGCGGGCACTTATTTGTAAAATGAGAATTTAAACCAGCAAAAAAAATTGGTGTCCTAGATCTTGTTTCTCTCTCTTATACACGCAGCAGCCCGAGCGCCCGTCCTGTCGTAAGCGCTTCATTAAGCATTCAAATACAATATTTGACAATTAAATAAGCCCAAAACACTTAATGGGAAATGATAAAAAAAGGTTTGAGTTTAAATTAAGGATCCCTGTTGAATTTTTAGTTGTGTTTTTGAGTCTTGGAAATCGTAATTTTGCATTTTTTAGTTTTTAAATTGTTTTTAACTTGAAAACGATCTAGCTTACAGCAAAATTATTATATACCTTTTTTTTTTCAGAATGGTCCAAAAAAATTAAAAAAAAATTGTTCGGGCCGAAAAAAAATTGATTGTTACAATTTGTTTGAAAAAAAATTATTTAAAAAAATTGAACAACTTTGGCGACCCGAAATATTTTATATTTTTTTGTGCGTATTTGTTCTTTATAATGTAATATGTTTTTTAGGAGTATTCAATTACAGTAATTTTTATCTTAATTCATGTTGGCTGTACTATACCCCCAGGAGAAAATGGTAAAGACTTACCGAATAACTTTCATCAGGAACAATATCAAGCTAGAATAAAAATACCTACAGACTCTGGTACAGCTTCAGGTTGTAAATTCGGAAAAAAACCAGTAAAAATTTATAAAACTGATGGTAATGGAAAAACATTTCTTGACATTTCCTATATAAATGTCGGATATAACTACGAATACAATATTAATTGCGGACCAGTGAGTGAAAGTGAGTCACACTATCCATCTCAAGATGATAATGCTATCACCTATGGGGGTGGACATAAACCTCATAGACCAATTTTTGGTGGACATCACAAACCAGGATTTGGAAATCATCATAAACCAGGATTTGGTAATAAACCAGGATTTGGTAATAAACCAGGATTGGGTGGAAATCACCATGGTACTGAATCAGAAGATACAGGTAAGAATACTAAAATTAAAAATGAATACCTATATTATTTTTATTTTTCAAAAAAATTACAGCATCTGATCACTTTTGTTATTTTATGAAATTTACTATTTATGATCAAGTAGCGTTCAAAATTTTCTTCCTTTTTAAAGCGAAGCTTCTTTACTGACGTTGCATTACTTTTTTATATACAGTAAATAGCTGAGGCGATCGTTACGGAATTAGCGCCACGAGAAGGTGTCGTCACGGGCAGATGTTATTAATGACAACAATAAATCATCTGTTTAATTTTTTATAATAATTATCTTTTTAAAATAATTATAAATAAATTCAACTATTTTAAACATGTTTAGTTTATTATAATAATTAAATTTACTATAAAATGATATTTATTTACATTTTATTATCAATGTTTGGTCTGAATTTGACAGGTTTGTCAATATTAAACATAAGTACATACATACATTAAATTTATAATATGTTAACAGATGGCGTTAGGAGCAAACACAATAATTGATTGAATTTGTTTAATATATAAAAAATAAATAAATATTAATATTGCTTTATTTAAGTTTAAATATATTATATAAAAGGGTGTGTATAAAAAGTCTTCAGGTGTGTAAAGTTTTTGCTGGAGTTTTATGGCAGACTCAATGTCACCGAATTTACTGTCGTTTGGCAGGAAACTGTGCCTAAAGACTAAAACTTCATAGTAATATTTTGAAGGCTAGGGTGGACTTCTAACATACTTTTCAGCAAAAGAACTATCTTGTTATTTCTATTTTAGCCACCACATAGATCACCACATAGTGCAAAATTGGTGACAATCTCTAAATGACTTTGATAAACCTGTCCTCCCTGCTCATATTCCCATATTTTCTCTTCATACCCTTTTTGGGAATACACGTATAAGGAACTTCTACTGAACTATCAGAAGAATATTTAGTAATTTGAAAAACAATTTGTTTTTCTGTTAAAGCAACATTAGTATCAGGAGTAGGTGGCATGATAATTTCTGTTTCGGGAACTGGAAGTTCTAAATTTTCATTTTTAGTACTAGAAAATATTATTAAATTTTCATCAGTATTAGGCCTAATCTCAGAAATCATAACATTTCCATTATTATTACTCACAGGAATCATATTGGTATGATTAGTAGCTCACCTAGAATTTTCCTCTGAGGGGATTTTGGTTGGGCACCGAAATTTTTTTATGCTATTTTTTTATGCTAACTACATTTTGAGGCCTTAAAATTTGTGAGTAACAGTGTTGGAATAGTTGCCGGGGGTTTTTAACCCCCAAAATCCCATTAGGGGCGCCACTGGCTATCATTATTGTATGTTGTAAGAAATATCATCACATCTTCATCACTACAACTAACTGAAATGACTCAATTTTCATCATAGTTATTACCAGGAACATTTTCAAGATTAATCACAATGTTTTCATCCTCATTACTAGTAGAAACCATACTAGCAGGACATTTTCCTGAAACCACAAACATTCTTTTAGCATTTAACATTTCTGTATTCTTTGTTTGCGATATGGAACCAATCACTATCAACTCATCATCATCATCAGTGGCATTACAGCTCGTTATGAGCCAAAGCCTTCTTGAGAACAATCTTCCATTCGCCCCTGTCTCTGGCAACTCTTCTCCATGCTTTAACTCCGATGGATTTTAGATCATCCTGTATATTATCTTAATACCTAAGTTTTGGTCTTCCTCTTTTGTCTCGTAATCGTGAATACATTCCTAAAGGGAAAAATGTTATGTTTTTAAACTAAATTATATCAACACTAACTAAAAACAGATATCAGTACACTTAAAATTGCTACAGCAACAAGCACAGGCAACAAGTCAACAAAACTGGTTCTCTTTTGTGAAATACAATATAGCTCCTTTGGTTGATTTTAGTAAAGACATGTGAAGCTGGTTCTCTCTTGCAAAACACATGACTGACTTTAAGCGGTTGGATCCTGAATAAAAATCTCAAAACGATAGTTACGTAAATGGTAGTTGTTTCATACTGTTATAATGATGGTTGAAGTCTTTGGTGCTTTTTTGCTAAACAAAGTTTGAACCTTCCTTATACCATGTAAGCAATAATATCAAATTTTGTAATTTGGTCGTTGGTTCCTTCTTGCATACATACGTCCAATTAAGTAATATAATTTCATTCAAAACATCATACTGTTTTCTTTTAATCAATGTTTATGTTTATGTTCAACCCACAGGTAACCTTAGGTTAAAAATATTGTAAAAATTTTAGTTTTGTGATCATTCACGTATTTGATACATCATCAGTCACAGTTTATTTAATAAAATAATGATATGCTCCAAGTACCTTTATACTTTTTATGTTTACGTAAATTTTTGACAAATTATCCTTTATATTTTTATAGATTTAGAAGAAAACCATAATAGTAATAGGCCAAACCGACCATTTCTCTCTAACTTTTTTGGAAACAGACCATTTCAAAATCTTTTTGGACAATCACATCAAACGTCAGAAGCTCAACAACCTGGTAAGTATGTTAAGTATATATCCAAGATAAAATTTTCTAATATTTCAGTACGCTTAAAAAGCACAGAAGAACTAATTCCAATTAATTTCAAAATTTAATTTGAATTAAATCATTCAAATGATTTATTGATTAACTAATGACATATGTGTATCCAAAAAGGGAAATTAACCGTACACATATGGTTATTATGTATTATCTTTTTCTGATGTATTAGTTGAAAATAGGTGTTGTTTTTGCATTTCGACTACATCTGATACAGTTAGTTTGTTTTTTGTTATCAATTTATCACCTTTTTTTAAGTTAGTTCTTATTGTTTTTAAGTTTTTTCTAAAGGCAAATTTATAAAAAGGCTGATAATATAAAAACTGACTAGTATATTATTAGTTTTTGCAGGAAATACTATAATTTTGTTATAGATGTTATTGTGTTATGTGCTAATGGTTGTATTATATCTAGGAGGAACTTCGACAGTTTGTTGCAGGGAGAACCCAAGCTGCTGCAAATTATTTTAAGAGATGCGTTTTCCATGTAGATTTTTGCGACTTCACATAGATACGGTGTCCTACTGTAGTGGGGTATTAGTGCACACACACACACATACACACACATACATACAAACATACACACATAAACACACACACACACACACATACAATAGTAATGTCCGACCTGAATGAAACTTGCATACCAGTAGGAACATTTGGGCATACAATTCATTAGGGCCAGGAGCATTGTTCCAGGTCAAGGACAAACCATCCAAGCCCCAATGCTTTCCAGACTCTCATTAATAACCACCCTCATAGCAAGCTGATGAGTATAAGAGACTACTATCATATTAATGGTTGTTACGTAAGAGTCTTGGGAAACGAGTTCTCCCAGTTAGAATTCCGATATTAGTTTGTACCATTTTTGCCTTTTGTACTTTTCTTGTAACATGGAATGTAAACGTGAGTCCCTTATCCATGGTCACTCTAAGACACTTTTCTTCATTAGACCTTCAGTGGGAGTGTCCAATATCTCTAGTTGTTCGGCTGGTACGCCGCGTCTCTTCTTTTACATCACTGCTTGGGTCTTCTCCGGATTTACTGCAATTTTTCACTGTATGCACCAATCTTCAAGGACGTGTAGTGCTATCTAAAGGTTTCTAGTTGCAACCAGTTGCCAGTTTCTCTAGTGCTAGAGGTTGATCATGGTGCTTTGTGTTCTGGGGTCATTGGTGGTGCATATGTTATACGATAGCGGAGACAAAACAGGTCTCTGTGGTACTCTTGTCTACGAAATTCCGACTTCAGATAAGACGTGTCTAATATGAATCCTGAATTTTCGGTTTGCGTGGTACGAGAATGTCATGGCATTGCTGTATTCATGGTTCTTTATTTTGTAGATCAGTCCTGTGTGCCAAACTCTGTCGAACTGTCTATCGTTAAAACCGGCTGCGATGTATTCTGTGAACCTGAGTACCTGGTGTTCACTTAAGTGTTTGGCTCTAAATCCGAATTAAGCTTCTCGTAAGACCTGTAGTCTTTCTGTGTCCTCTTCAAGCTATGAGAATATCACTATTTAGGCAATTTTGCTGATGCTGGCAGTAAACTTATTGGCCTGTAGTTCTGTGGAATTTTTTTTTTCCTGGTTTATGGAATGTGATCACATGGCTTCTTTCCATCTATTAGAGAATCTTCTAAAACTCATTAGTGCATTTATTACGTCTCTCAGATAAACGACTACTGTCACTAAGAGGTATTTTAAACCCTTTTGGATATTTCGTCTGGTCCAGGGCTTTATTTGGTAAGATTTTCCGAATCAGGGTACTAACTTATTTTGGGGATGTCTTTTTCAGTGGTGGATCTTCTACTTCTGCTCAGTCTTCTATAGTAGTCTACTTCGACTTCCTTTTCGAAGTCAGAGTTTTCTTCTTGGTGGTAGTTCATGGTCTTTCTAGGGTGATTTCCATGACTTCGTGTTCTTCTTGACACGAACAAACAGATGGACAGAATACATAAAAGAACTATTCGGGGATGACAGACAACAAATCATAGATGAGGACTCTGGTGAATCGGGACCAAAAATTTTAAAACAGGAAGTTCAATACGCATTAAAACAGACAAAAGGGAAAAAGGCCACAGGTCCGGATGAAATCCCGATTGAGTTTCTTAAACTGATCGATGATGAAATGATAGACATTCTAGTAGAACTTTATGATCATATTTATCAAACAGGTATTTTACCAAAGGAGTGGTTAGTATCCACATTCGTAATTATTCCCAAAAAGCAAAATGCAAAAGAATGCTCAGAACACCGTACAATTGCATTAATGAGCCATGTTTTGAAAGTATTTCTACGAATAGTCCACAACAGAATTTACAGAAAGCTGGATGATGAAATTAGTGATAGTCAGTTAGGCTTTAGAAACGGCACGGGAACCAGGGAAGCATTGTTCGGTATAAATGTGCTCATGCAAAGAAATCTGGATATGAACCAAGACATGTATACATGTTTTATTGATTTTGAAAAAGCATTTGACAAGGTACAGCACAATAAACTAATTAATATTTTAAAAATGAAAAACATCGATAGCCGCGACATCAGAGTAATCTCGAACCTCTACTGGAACCAGAAAGTCAAAATAAGAATTGAAAATCAAATGTCGGAAGAAATAGAAATTCTTCGGGGTGTGAGACAGGGCTGTGTATTGTCACCACTGCTGTTTAATATATATAGCGAAGCCATTTTCCAAGAAGCTTTAGGAGAGTGTAACGATGGAATGATAATAAATGGTGAAATTATTAATAATATAAGATATGCCGATGATACTGTCATATTCACTTCAACTCTGCAAAGTCTAACAAACATACTGGAACGGCTGAATGAAAAGTGTACCATATATGGTATTAAAATGAACTTAAAGAAAACAAAATTCATGGTCATTACAAAACATCCAAAAGACAACGAGACACTCCATATTAACAATATCCAGATAGAAAGGGTAGATAAATACAAATATCTAGGAACATTGGTTAGTCAAAACGCAGAACAAACGCAAGAGATTAAAAGCCGTATAGAAATAGCAAGGGCAAAATTTGTAAAAATGAAACATCTATTGTGTAGTAGAGACCTAAGAATGGATCTAAGGATAAGGTTATTGCGCTGCTACATTTTTACAACTTTGCTCTACAGATCTGAAGATGGACATTGAAACAACTGGAGATTAAGAAATTGGGAGCTTTTGAGCGTTGGTGTTATCGAAGGATGCTACGAATAGCATGGGTAGACAAAATTACCAATATTGAAGTCCTTGATAGGGTTAATAAGAGGGAAGAAATTGTACAGACAATTAAGAGGCGAAAACTTGAATATTTCGGTCATATATTAAGAGGTCCTCGTTATGGGCTACTACGTTTGATTATAGAGGGCAAAATAAAAGGTAAAAGAGATGTAGGAAGAAGACGAACCTCCTGGCTACGAAATCTAAGGGAATGGTTTAGTCTGAGCTCTAGCCAACTATTTAGAGCTGCTGTAAGCAAAATAAGAATTGCCATGTTGATATCCAACCTTCGTTAGAAGATGGAACCTTAAGAAGAAGTGTTCTTCTTTGGTAATCTATCAAGGATTCCTTAAATTAATGTAGTGTTTTGTATATGTAATTTTTTAATGAATTTGGTTGGATCGTTTTATAATCCATTTGTGTCGAATTATTTGAGTTTTCCTGGAATTGACTTTTTTCCATGATTACAGTTGCTTTACGCTTGTCAGTCAGTAATATTATTAGGAACTCATCTTCTTTTAGAGCTTTGATAGATTTGAGTTGCTTTTGACTTACATTTGCTCTTGATTTTAGGCTTTTTTTCCACTTCCATTTTGCACAATATAGTATGCTCTTCCTTGTCATGTGTTGTTTGTTATTGACCTTTTAAGCAGCCCTAATTGTATCACATGAACACACATGAATCACATCTACAAATGAAGAGGTAATACGCAGAATAAATAACGGTCCAGAAGTTATTATGAATATAAAAAAGAGAAAACTTAAATACTTAGGCCACCTGATGAGAGGACAAAAGTACACATTCCTACAATATAATGCAAGGAAAAATCCAAGGACGCAGAAATCCAGGCCGGTAGAAAAATGTCCTGGATCAGAAAGTTAAGAGAGTGGTTTGGCTATACCACTAACGAATTATTCAAAACAGCAGTTAATAAAATTAGAATCGCCATAATGATATCCAATCTCCGATAGGAGAAGCACTCAAAGAAGAAGAAGGAACTTAGAAGAAGAAGGGGTACATTATAGCAAAATTTAGATCTTTTGAATTTCCGATTTTTTATATTTATGACGTAACAGTTTCTAAAATTTTTATTGCAATATACGAGATTTATATTGTAGGTGTTTTCAACAACATCGTTACCAGTGTCACCAGCATATTCCCTTCTCCTCAAGAATTTGGACAAGGTTTAGGAGACGGTATTTCATCATTTATCCTCACAATACCTCAAATAGGACAAAGTTTTCAGTCATTGTTACCTAATTTTGGTAACTTTTTTGGTAGTACACCTGCAGGTAGTATATTCTGTATATAAATAAATAGTTAAAAGTTGTTATAATATTTATATAAAAATTTACCAAAAAGATAAATAATCCGCATTTATTTAAATATACCTATATATGATATATGAATGTGCATATACACCAACAGAAGAATGTGGAAGAATATTACGACGATTTAATGTACTTGACCATTTGACATTTTTACGGTATTTTCAATTATTTTACTTTCACCGCTAAGCCAGGGTAAGAATCACCTCAACATTTTTTAATAGCAATGGGGGGTCAAAAAAAAATTGATTGAAAACCCTTGCAATTATCCATATATTAGCCTTTAAATTTTTATATTGGTAATCAGAAATTTAATCAGAGATTTTAAAAAAATTCAATTTAACAAAAAAATTTAGTTTGCTAAATATGCGAAATCTATTAAATCGATTTTAATAAAATTTGATGGGTTATTTGATCATATTATACAGATTTTCTAGACCAATTATGAAGGTTCTGAGTACTATTTAAGTGGTTGAAGAATATTGAATAAGAAAAGGCTTATTTTCCCCTCTTTTTTGTATTTATTGCTATTTTGTAGCAACGGTAATAAATTAAAATATTTTTAACCATCCGTATCTTATAAAAATTCAATTGTCGCTATTTTATTTGTTACGACTTTTCTTCAAAATAAATTAGTTTTAAAGGTATCAGCAAAGACAGTAGAAAAAACGATTTTTTAGTAATTTTTAAATATTTTAATTTTTTTAATAATGTTTCCGACCTACTTGAGAGGGAGGATGTCAATTATTATTTCTGAACTATTTAATAACGTGGATTTACGGCCGAGTAACCAGTGGTTATCGCTAGACCAGTCTTTAATAGAATGCGCATACTCTTTTGCAATCGTGATATCAATATAAAGTTACGAATGCTGCGGTGTCTTTTCTACCCTGTTACATGGAGTTGAGGCTTGGACACTAAAACAGTTGACCATAAAAAACATCGAAGCTTTCGAGATGTGGTGCTATAGGCGCATTCTCAGAATATTATGGATGGACCGCGTCACTAACACGCAAGTACTCCAAACTTTAGCGAAATTCTAAATGAGATAAAAACTAGAAAGATGGAATACTTGGGGCACATTGTGAGAGGTGAAAAGTACGAACTTTTAAGAAACATCATGCAGGGCAAAATTAAGCGCAAAAGAAGTGTGGGAAGAAGAAAAATATCGTGGCTTCGTAATCTACGTGAATGGTTCCTGTGTAGTTCGATTGAACTTTTTAGGCGCGCTGCTAACAAAGTCGCAGTGGCCATGATTATTTCCAATCTCCACTAGGAGTGGCACGAGAAGAAGAAGAAGAACCAGTGGTGTTTTTTGAATTTTATTCTTAATTGATTCCTCATCATCCAGTTGTGTGTTATCCATGTTAGCCTCTTGTCAAGGTCTATCCAAGATATTATCATTTTTGGGAATGTTCTTGTTAGGCATTAGGGGATTTGGAGTTTCTTTGTGACATTTAGTATAATATAAAATATTATATATTATTATTATATATATAATATAAAATACCACGTTAACTGATTTTGCTTCTTTGATCTTTATCTTCCATTTCTTAACCAACATTTTAAATAAATGTATGGTTTGTTATAATATTTCAGATAAAAAAATAAAGTTCGTGTAACCTTCTGGCTAAGGTCTAGTGTTAGGGGCGCTTGGACTACCTGAAAACCCTGATGACTTAACGACTACTTTCGTAGCCTGAACCGACGGCTTTACGCGCCATCCGAAGCACGTTGGCAGCTCAGTTAAATTAGAAATTGAAAATTTTGTCGGTGCCGGGATATTTCAGATCCTTGTATAGGATATGGTTTTTAACCAGAATTGCAATGTCATCTGCGAATGTTGCGATTGTGAATTTTTCTCCAGTTGGTAAATCAGATATGTAGATTGTGTAGAGAATTATGGTCTCTAGACACTGTTTTGTGGGACATCTACATTTATGTTGTTGATGTAGACACACCTTCTTCGTATCTTGCATAATTTCATAAAATAGTCTTTCTTTGAGGTGTGATTTTAGTATCGTGTATAGCGGCTGACATATTGCTTTCTTCAGTTTGAATAGTAATCTTGGATACCAGGCCTTGTCAAATGCTTGACTAACACCCAGAAAAAGGCATTACAAAACTTTTTGCTTAGAAGGCAGCTTGTGTACCACTCTATGCATTTATTCAGTTGTGCTGTGTTTTTGGCGGAAACCGAACTGATGATTAGGTATAATATTGTTGTTCTGTATTTCAATAATCAGTCTACTTACAATGACTTATTTTGTGACTTTGGATATAACTAGTAGTAGGCTGATGGGTCGGTAGGACGTAATCCCATGAGAAAGTTTTCCTGGTTTTGGAATCGTAATGATTTCTGCTAACTTTTATGTGCAGGAAAGTAGCCTGTACTTAGTATCGAGTTTATGATTTGTGTTAGACTTACTATTCCTTTTCTGGATAGAATATTTAATATGTTGACTGTTATGAGATCATGTCCAGATAACTTCTTTATATTGGAGTTTTTTATTAGACTTTTTACTTCGTTAAGAGTTTCACATTTGAATGAATGTTCATTTGATTAGTACTGTCTATATTTGGATTCGAGATATAGACAACTAATAAATAATATATATGAAAACGTAACTGTGATAGTACAACTAGACCAAAATATAAATCCCATCCCCATTAAGGAGGAGATAGACGAGGCGGCGTAATATCTCCAACGCTTTTTAATCTAGCCCTAGCAGACATCTTCAAAAGTACAAATTGGTCAACATAGGACAACAACCTTAATTTTAACAAATTAGACCACCTCAGATTCGTTGACGATATCGAGATTATAGTAAGCACATTTGAGGACTTACAAATTATGATGAAGGAAATCTCAGATAACTACTAGTATGTTGGCCTCAAAATGAATATGACAAAAACAAAAAAAAAACGACAAAAACATACGACCCTAAACGTATAACCATAAATGGCAGTGAGGTAGTACAATTCCAGGAATATATCTACTTAGGCCAAATTCTGCAACTTGATAAAAACATCAAAGTGCAGAAATTACTAGAAGAGCAAGAATAACATGGGCAGAATTTGAAAAACTCAGTTGGATACTGAAGAACCGCAAAATACCTCAATGTTTGAGGAACAAAGTGTTCAACCAATGCATCCTTCGTATCATAATATATGGATGCCAAACCTAGACCCTAGCAACAACACAAAGGGCAATGTAAAGAACAATGTTAGGTATACAACTGTCAGATTAAAAGAGAAATAACTGGGTAACATCAAACACAAAAGTTAAGGATATTACAACAAAAATTGCCAAACTCAAATGGAGCTTCGCAGGTCATACTGAAAGACAAAAGGACCAAACTTGGAACGCCTTAATATAACATTTAAGGCCTTGCAAAGGTAGATGACCAAGAGGAAGATCACAGATGAGATAGGTAGACGACATAAACAGAATAGTTGGAGCAAATTAAAAGTATGTTGCTCAGGATATAGATCGATGGAGGGAGTTATTAGAGGTCTATGTCCAAAAATGGACAATAGAAGGCTAATAGCCTATTAATTAAATAATTTTTAAATAGTTCGTTTTCTCTTTTTGGAATCAAATTTTTGTGAATGACATATTAAAATCTCGTATAATTTTTTTCCATTGTAAAATAACGGTCTTGATTACTTTTTATTATTTTTATTTGCTTTTTTGGTGAGTTTTTACCTTTAAAAACTATTTATCAATTTTATCTCCTGGTATCTGCAATTAAAAATAATAATTTATTATTTAGTACAGAATATACCTAATCCACCTAACCCTGTGGACCCTGGGGAAATACCTGTGAATATAAATTACAACGATGAGATAAAACCAGTTCACGAAGATCATGATCCTGTTACAGATCCCTACAAGAATCGTCTCCGACCTGGTCAGTATTTGGTGGCTTCACATCCACTGTTCGGTAGTGCCACATTTGACTTATCACGCATTAACCCTATCAAACTTTACCAACAATTTACTGATGAGGTGGTGGATTATTTTGGAGATTTTTTTTAATTTAGAAGATAGAACTAACTACATGTTTTCATGGGGTTATTCTAATTGTAAGTTTATTATTACTATCTATTTTTAAATATTAACAATTATTTTTATATAATGGAAAGTGGCACGAAAGATCCAGAATTGAACGATACCGAGAAAATAAATATAATGCAAGGTATTATAAAGTATTATGTACACTAGGTTGATGTCAAATTCTGATCTTTCTGTGCTTATTGTTGTATTGTTGTGTTACAGCTGATTATACTGGAAAACACAAAATATTTTTGTTCTGTTGCATGAAATCGTGTAACTAGTTTTGGGATATTTTGTAGTTACTTAATGTGAAATCAATTTTTGATTAAAACCCATAGTTTTTTTGCAATTATACACACAAAATTGATATAGCTATCTTTGAGGTCAAAAGGCCTTACGATAGTTTACACTGGCCATTTTTATAGGTATGTTACAGATTGTTATAGATAACGTTATAGCCTACATTAACTCTTTGTACCCCTCCACTACAGAGCGTCTGCTGTTAGAATAAAGAACCATACATTGTCCACAGCACATACTTCTTTAACATATGATCTCCTATAGAAAGAAGTATATAGTAAGTTTCTAACGCCACACATGTTACAGGCATGAACTAAAGCATTTACACTTTAACAATTTTCAATCGAAGATGACTCATCTACAAATTGAACAGAGCTAACGGCAATAATGTTAAGTGTCAGAAGTAAATTCTTACCGGCACTTACCGGAATCATTTTTATTGTAATTATGATTCGTGAATGAAAAAGAGATTCCGTGAAAGGTAAGATGGTTCCATAAAATTTGTTCCCATAACAATATTTCTTTTGTATGCCAATGCAATTCATGAGCGAAGAGTTTATTGAATACTTTGGAACATCAGTAAACTTATCAACACTTCGCTGTTCTATATATTTACGTCCTTGGAAAGAGTGGGATTGGGAAAAATAACTTATTCGCCCGGTTTCTTCATCATCAAGCGTCTCTATCTACATAGGCGTGGTGTGTTCTGTTTTTTGTGAATATGACTTTATTTTATATTTAATAAATGGACTTTATTATATTAATTAACTTTAAAATAGTTTTTGAGTTATGCAAAAAATAGATAAATAGCAGAATAATATAATTGATGTTAATTATTTGTATAGCCTTAAGATAAATGTTGTAGCGAGTCCAAGTAATGTACAAAAAAAGCGGAAGTTTATATTGGAAAAGAAAAACAGATGTAAAATGGTAAATGTGAAAATTGTGAACACAGTGTGCTCCCAAGATAAACTGATTTTTGAGACATTGAAAAAGGAAACTAGTTGGACAGAGAAAAAAGTTATGATAAATGTATATAACAACACCAACCAAATCATATTCAATATAGATGAGCTAAATATGGCTTACCTGTGATTTGGAAGTATAATCGTAATGCTTGGGTAACAGATTCCCTTTTTGAGGATTGATTGGTCAAAACCATTTACCTGTCATTTAAAGTCATGCTAAATCTTCGACAATGCACCAGGTTATCCTTCTACGATTTTAACTAGTTTTGACCCACATGTGATAGTTGAATTTTTTCCTGATAATACAACCAGCTTATTTCAACCTATGGATCAGGGAGTCATTAATACATTCAAGGCTTATTACCTCAGACATCATTTACACACTTGTATGAAGTTATAAGAAAAACAACGAGCTCTATATTAAAGACTTTTGGAAAAAAATCAACGTTTTAGATTCAGAGAAAACCATTGGAGAATTTTAAAATGAAATTTCATGAAAAACCTTAAATGGCGTAAAGAAAAAACTGTCCTTTTTTTCATCACCGACACCAAGGTGAAGTTAATGCCACAGCCTGATGAAATTAGTAACTCGACTAAAGAAGTTGTTAATGTCGCCATACAAATAAATTTAGAGGTGGATAGTGATGACGTTCAAGAACTGTTGGATTCTAACTAGTAAAGCTTGATTGTTTGGATCCTGTTCAAACAAAGGATCAAATTACGATTGGAAACTTGACTGAATTCCTTAGTTTAATTGAAAAGGGATTACAAATTATAGAAGATATAGACTACAACGAAGAGCGCATTTTTTCTACAAATCAAAGAAGAAAAAAGTTATTAGCCTACTATGAGGAATTTTTTTCGGGAGGAAAAAATTTAAATAGTCAAACTACTTTGTTAGACTTTATGAAAACTTCTGCAACAAAATAACTTCGATGGAGGATTTTATATGAATTCGACTTCACTCGGTCCCACCTATCGAGTAAGTTCGGGGTATTACTGTAATGTAGCATTAAAAAACACTGACTACGAAAGCCTCCTAGTTACATATCCATATTATTTGTCATTATTGTATATATATATTATATATATATATATATTATATATATATATATATATATATATATATATATATATATATATATATCCCGTTTATAGCGTAATCCGCCTTTGGGTTCCCGTTCGCCAAGCCTGTCTATTCTGCCAGTCTTCTTCAAATAGATTTCTTGCTGACATGGCTTTTGAAATTCCTTGCATCCATGTTGTTGGTGGTCGTCCTCGTTTTCTTTTCTCTGGTGGTACCCATTCTAATATTTTTTTTGGTAGTCTTTCTTCCCCCATACGTCTAACATGTCCGTACCATGTCAGTTGTTGTTTTTCGATGTCTTCTATAATTGATCTTTGTACATTCATTTGATTTCTTATGTCCTCATTTCTCACATGTTCTAATCGAGACTTATATTATATATATATATATATATATATATATATATATATATATATATATATCTATATATATATATATATATATATATAATATATATATATATATATATATATATAGGCTTAATTTTAGCAAAAACAAATAAATCAATTTTAATTCCAATTTGATCTCAGGGCTCCTTTTGTCGTTAATTATAATAAGGGGCTTCAAAGTATTCTTTAAGCAGTTGTCTTTTAGGTAAGGATGGACAATAGGATGGACAAATCAATTAAACCAAATACTTTTATGACACTAAAAACTATTAAATAATTTATTAAAACAAAATAAAAAAGATTAAAGTAAATTTTACAATTAATCAAAATCATATATCATATGCGCTAATCCGCATAATTAAAATTACAAATTTATTAAACTTCCTACAGAAATTATCAATAATTGTTTGGACTTGTGTTTAAATAAAAGTCTCTTCTCTGTATTTTCTTTTTTAAATAAATCAAGGCAAAGATTATTTTTAAGAAATATTACTTCTTTTCATTTTTTTATATCTGAATTAAAAGATTAAATTTATTGTGAAATGAAATCACTGAATAAAATACTAAAAAACCAAAATAAATATGATCTAGTTATGATTGTGATTGTCTGTGTGAAGTCTTTGTTGATTATACGGCAAACTAAGCTTTTATTTCCAAGAATTCTCTACTAGCTCCTTTTCTTCTTACGACAGTGATCTGTCCAGCTTTTGCTTGTACTCTCAGTTGCTCTACACATGCCTGCTAGCTCCTCTGCTTGTCAACGTCTTTCGCACACACTATTATCGCCGCAAAAAAACTCTCCAAAAGCTCCTTAACCAAACCCTTTTCTCACAGGAACCCAATTTCTTTCTAGTCGAAAGAATGTTCACGAATATTACCAAATATACTAAACACCTGTTTGTTTATTACAGGATTTACTTTCATTGTCCACTGTTAATAATCATTGAGGCTCGTTCCACAGACACAAAACAGCTTTCACAATTATTACTTGACAAGAACTCAATAGGGAACTCAAGGATATGGAACAAAAATACCTTGCTTGATCCGACGTTCAAATCACAGTAATCTTCCTTTTCCCGAGCATAACCTGACTTTCTTTACTTCAATATCTCCATCTCCTTTTCATCAATCAGATACACACATCCTACATAGGACGCCATCCTTTTAGACCAATCAAATTCTGTGACTTGTCAAACACAAGCTCAATGCTATTATGATATCACATAACCTTGGCATTTCCAAATTTTACATCAATAAGATATTTTATTTGTTTTTAAGTTTCTACAGACAATATAGCTTATTCTCAAAATTGCTATCTTTGGGCTATTAACATTAATCGTTTATGAGAATTTCTCTTTTGTTTTCATATATTAATGTACAAATATCTATTCTTCTATCTGCTTACTTTCTACTAAATTAGAAAAATCATTACTCATTCAAATATATAGCTCTGATCTGTTATATTTTCAATAAGTAAGTATATTGTAAGAATAAAGTATAAACTAATATTTATATCCTTTTATTTCAGCTACAAACTTTTATCCAAAATACCAAAATTATTATTCGAGAACCAAACAAGAGAACTACCAAATTGCAAGTAGAAGTTTCGTTCGAGATGAAGAAGAAATGATCAATCCTAGATCCTATGAAGGAAGAAGAACTCAGTATAAAGATAACCGTAATATTAAATTTCCTTCTTAAGAATTATATTATATTGCGAATATTAAAATATAAAATAATAAAAGATTGTTTTACCTTTTTTACCATCAATCCCTGCTAGAGAATAATACTTCTAAGATAAGATGTTCTCCAACGTGAAAGACTGAGCTAAACGAGACCTAACAATTGGCTCCCAAAGAAAGTTGTGAGTTTCTTTGTTGTACATTGGCTCCCAACTTTCTTCTTTTTCTTCTTCTTCTTCTTCGCGTAGAACTACAACCCGAGGTGGGTCTTGGCTGACTGCACAACTTGCTTCCATCATGAACGGTCGTCCATAATAGTTTGGGTCAGTGGGTAGCCCCATTGTTCTTAGATCTGATCATATGTTTTCTCTCCATCGCATTCGTGGACATCCTAAGGGCCTTCTTCCTGTGGGGGCTTCCTTCCATATTAAATTGGCAAGGCGGTTATTAGGGAGTCTATGGACATGGCCAGCCTATCTTAGACGTTGGTATTTAATCTCTTGGACTATGTCGCTTGCTCTATACATCTGCTTGACCTTTGTGCTCATTTGGTATTGGTTGCTATTAATGTCGTAATAAGGCCTAAAGATTCTTCTGAGGATTTTCCTCTCTCAAAACATCTAAGTTTTCTTTCAGTTTCTTTGGTCAGGGTCCACATCTCACACCCATACATGAGCACCGGTTTAATAACCGTTTTATATATTCTAATCTTTGATGTTCGTGTTAGGCTTTTAGATTTAATAGTATTGTGGAGGCTGTACATACATCTGTTTGCTGCTTGAATTCTTCCGTTATCTGCAATGATTGTTGCTCCGAGATATTTAAAACTCTCCACTCTTTCAAATTTATATGGGTCTATTTATCCAGACATAGAAATAAAACGTAGAATAGCAATGACTAAAACTACTTTTATGAAAATGAAGTCATTTCTTTGCAATAACCATCTCAGTTTAGAACTAACGCAAAGAATGGTTAAGTGCTATGTTTGGTCTGTACTTTTGTATAGTGCAGAAGTGTGGACGCTAAAAGTATCGATTATGAACAAGATTGAAGCATTGGAAATGTGGGTTCATAGACGAATGCTTAAGATACCTTAGAGAGCAAGAAAAACTAATGAAGAAGTACTAAGGAGCATCAACAAAGACAGAGAACTGCTAAGGACTGTTAAACATTGAAAAATGTCTTATCTGAGACATATAGTAAGGGGAAGTCGATATAAAATTTTACAACTGATCCTTAAAGGCAAAATAAAGGGCCCTAGAGGTGTAGGAAGAAAACAAGTTTCTCGGTTAAAAAATATTCGTGAATGGACCCAGATACCAAATGCAGGACAATTATTCCATTTTGCAGAAGATCGAGAAGCCTTCGCAATTGTGATCGCCAACGTCGGATAGTTCTGATATGGCACGCGAAGAAGAAGAATGGGTCTATTGTAACATTTTGCCCTCTTCTATCTCTTCCCTTTTGTCTATTTGTGCACATGTGTTTGGTTTTCTCTTCGTTTAACCTTAAACCAGTTTTCTTTGCCTCTACCTCCAATTTGTTAAAAGTCTCCACATTGGTGACTACGTTTCCCACCATGTCAATATATGCTGCGTGTGCTAGTAGTAATTTTGGTCCATTTACTGTCAGTAATTCTGTTTTAAGTTGTGCTGCTCTTACTACTTTCTCCAGGATGATATTAAAAAGGAGAGGTGACAGCGCATCTCCTTGTTCCTTCAGGCCACTGCCTATTTCGAAAGAATCTGAGAGTTTGTTCCATTCCACATCTGATCCCTTTTAATGCTGTCGTATGCTTGCCGGAAACCTATGAAGGGGTTATGGATAGTTCTATTGAATTCCCATCCTTTTTCAAGCAGCTGTCTCAGAGTCGAGATCTGATCTCCCAACTTTCGGAGATGGTTAAAATGTTACTAATTTACTAATTGGCACCCACCGTTTCTGATGAGTGGTTCATTAGTTACACCTATTAAATATAACATGTTAAATTAACCTAATTTATAGGAATAGGTTTCACCATAGAGAAGTTTGTAATTTGATTGCTAATTAATTGGCGAACAGGAAATATTTAAATTTTTAATATATAAAGTTTTGTATAAAGTCTTCAATTATTTAAAATAAGAAAAAAAATTAAAACCATTTATACTGAATAGTTTTGTTAACGTAATGATTTTTTACCAGATCCAATATTGTTATGAAGCTGAATTCGGAATATTTAAGGAAAATAAGAAATCTGTTTTTAAAAAGAATCGCTTTATTCTTTTTTTAACAAAAACACTTCGATACAATAAAATACAATTCTTCTGTAAAATTTAGTTTTATATCTACACTATATACATTTATACATACATACCCTCTTAATAATTATTGCATGCATACATCCATGCATCTTTACATTCAATACACTTAAAGTATAACAGCCTTTTTATTTATCTAAGTGCTTTTTATACCAGTCTGATAAGAAACTAAGATTTTTTAGCAATAAACAACTTATACAATCAGTAACATTACGAATGACAATTACTTTCAACAGCAGACAGTGACTAGTGTATGTTTGGATGCAATATTCAATTTCAGAAACCATTCTGCCAGCGCTACCATGCTTTGGTCAATTCGGTCAGCACTTGTCGCTAACTTGAGTTCGAGATTCGTCAAATCTTGTACTCAATTTTTATGGGATTGGATCGGCATGTTAAGCACATCTTGGCAAAGTTTTTAGCATACAGATTTTTTATTACATATAACTTAGGTTAACTAAGTAGTTAGGGACTCCCCCTATTAAACCCGCTAAACTCCAAAGTGAATCACATTTTACTGAATCTCAATAATGGATTATAATCAGTATATTCTAATTATAACTATAATAGCTATTTGGTTATTTACTGCTTTCCTGTAGGAAACTCATTTATCAGGCCATTATCCAGAAGGTTGTTTGACAAAACATCGCTTTAGAAAGAATAGTACATTGTTTACCGGGTAGGAAAAGCTTAACATTCCTGGACGACTGTGAAGATTGCTAAGTCGAGGCGCAAGCCGAGACTTAGCAGCACAGAGTCCAGGAATGTGGCTTTTCCTACGAGGTAAACATACTATTTTTCCGCAAATCGTTTAAAATTCGACAGATATTGATTGATTTAAAAAAACGCGATAATTTTATTCCCAAATAAATGGTGCTTTGAAATTCCTAATAAAATTACTTGGGTTACTATGGAAACGTATTGAGGTTGAATTGTCAAACTTGACGCTTATAAATTTAATTGCTGGTGTTCTCGAAAGTAAAATGATAAGTGATGATGAAATTTCCATTCCTGGGACTCCTCCAGAGCTGGTTGAGGCAGTGAATACTGCTTCATTAGACTTATTGCCAAAGAAATCAAGAGAAAAGTACGAAAATGCATACAGACGTTTTATGGATTATCGCATGAGTAAAAATACTAGTTCTTTCTCAGAAAATGTTGTAATGGCATACTTCCTAGACCTAACAACTGTACGGAAATATCATTTCCTTACAGTAAGGAAATGACATTTCCTTACAGTAAGGAAGTCCTGACTTTTTCTTCAAGAAATTTTGACAGGAATGTCAAAATTCCCTGGCGATTTGCTGAAAAGACATATTACTTGCAATTTTTTGAGAGCTTTGTTACTACTATAAAACAAAAAAGTCACAGCCCTAAAATCAAGCCGGATGTGAAAGTAATTTGACGCCCAACTCTTGAATTTTTACCATTGTCCTAACGTTTTGCGGATCAGTGGATGGTCTAGGAATAACAACAATTTTTTTGTGCATAATGAGGCTGTTTCTCAATGAGTTGTTGCGTCCATTTGTTCATCATTTCATTTACGTTATTTTTCCAAACACGTCAATGTTTCGCACCTGTTAAAAATATATTTATAGCTACATTTCGCTAAAAGTTGACATGTATGCCAACAACAAAGGCTATACTTTCTGGAACAAATATTTTATTGGGATTACAGCGCCCAAATTGGTGAAGGAGGTTACTTATCAGACCTACAATGCTGTAGTTACCAATGGTCCTGTGGGTTTTTGGGAAATTTAGACAAAACCAAATTGCTTTGTGTTTATAAGTAAAACTAAGTAATATTGCTAAGTCGTACAACAAATGTTACATATGTAAAACGCAATTATACATGCCGACAACAGGCTTCAACACTATTGAATTGCTATCAAATATATAGGTTCAATATTTATCCTAAAAAGACCAACACAAACATACATTCAATAACAGAGATATACATCCATACAAAATAATCGACGTAAGATGCCTCAACTCAGCAGAGGTAGGTAGCGACCATAGCGTAGTATTATGTAAAAAAATCATCATGAAATACTTTTCACCCAAGAGAGAGGCGCCAAGACAAACAAAACTCGGAGTCGAAGGACTAAAAAACGGAATTCACGGAATACTTATACAGAAAATTAATATCAGAGAAGATTACTGGGAATGAAATATTAGAAAACGACAATATCAAGAAAAGCTGAGAAAACTTAAAAATACCATAATTTACTCAGGAACAGAATCACTTGGAGAGAGGAAAGTAATAAACACTAACATATCAAAAAAGAAAACTTCATGGTTTAGAAATAAAGTGAATACAAAATGTGAAGAAAAGAAGAAAGCCTTTTTACAATACAGAACATAACAAACACCACCGGCATACAACCACTATAAACGAATCAGAAGACAAAATTCTGACAAAAGTTACACACGATTAGATACCCCATCGTCTCCTGACGAATGGTAAGACGATATGAAAGAACAAAGTGAGAGTACAACGAAACATCGACGAAGAAGAAGATGTTCTAGGTACCTCCTGTCTTAGAAGATATAGGAACAGAACAAATAAAGCACTTTGGACCAAAAACCCTAGAGTGGCTCGTAAAAATGATAAACTCCTGCGTCTGTACATTCCAAATCCCCAAAATCTAAAGAAAAGCTAGAGTGGTGGCCCTATTAAAACAAGGATCCGGCAGATACAAAGAGTTTTTACACCTGTCTCTCTTTTGTGTCACCTTTTCAAGGCGTTCGAAAGAATGATACTGAACCGGATCGCTGAATCTGTGGACACTAACATTATTCCCAAGCAAGCAGAGTTTAGACCCGGAAAATGCTGCTGCAGTCAAACTCTTAATCTCACCCAGCATATTGAAGATGGGCTTGAACGGAAAGAAATAACAGGAGTAGCGTTCATAGATCTAACTGCCGCCTATGACACAGTTAACCATCAACAGCTGCTGTTAAAACTCTACGAAATTACAAACGATTCCCGACTAACAAGGTTAATAAAATGTCTTCTCCAGAATAGGCGCTTCTACGTAACGCTCCAGTCCTAGAACAGTCAGTGGAGGGATAAAAAAAATGAACTCCCACAGGGAAGTGTCGTCGCGCTGATGCTATACAACATTCACACCAACAACCAACCCAAAAATCAACAAATAAGACAGTCTATTTACGCAATAATACAACTGTGGCAGCTCAGGATAGTACCTTTAATGAAGTCGAAGTAAAACTGACAGATGCCCTAAAAGACTTAGCACTATACTATAACAAAAACCATCTGAAACACAATCCTATAAAAACCCATGTGTGCGCTTTCCACCTTAGAAACAAGCATTCCGGAAAGACACTGGAGGTGGAATGGCGTAGTAAGATTGCTGGAACACAATGAGACGCCAAAATACATCGGAGTACGGCTGGATAGAACTCTGTCTTATCGATATCACTGTCAAGATGTCAAGAAAAAAGTAAGCGCCGGAAATAATATCACCACAAACTAACAAATATAAAATGGGGAGCACAACCACACACTCTTCGTACTTCTGCCTTAGAATTATATTTTTCTGGCGCTGAGTTTGGAGCACCAGTATGGGAAAACTCTGATCACGCTAAAAACGTGGATGTTGCGTTAAATGAAACGGTTCATATATAATATGGTATTTAGTATAATATCTGGTTGCCTGAAATCGACACCTATCGAAGAGGTCTACCCTATAGTTGGAATCGCTCCACCTGCTATCAGAAGACAGCTCACGTCAAAGATAGAACAAAAGAAGCAGGAGACGGATCAAAGACACACCTTGTATGATCACCAAGTTCAGCCAAGTAGACTAAAATCTCGAAAAAGCTTTCTAAAAAAATCACTATCAACATATATCTATACAACACTTTTGCCCCCTCAGAGGAAATGACCGCTGGATACAATTTGCTGTATCCCACATGGAAAGCGCTAAACAGATTAAGAACTGGCGTTTCACGTTGTACTAATAACCTGAAGAAATGGGAGGACAATACCTGCGACTGTGGCGCGTTTAAGAATAGTCACAATCAACTATCATGAACAGAGATAAAAGAGACCTGCACATAAGAAGAACTATTTTTAGCGAATGACAAGGCCATCTATGTGACCAACCATAGGAAATACAAAATTTAAAGCTGTTCGCGCTCCGGACACGAAAAGTAAGTAACGAATCAGAAATAAAAAGAATACTTAAGTTAGACAAATAAAAAGGGAACAATGGTATAGCTCCTTAAAACAGATAGAACACGACTTCTACGGAAGATAAAAATAAATATGGAGAATGATCAGAGGACAATGAGACGAAATAATCGAACTAATAAAAACGATACAGATTCAGAAGAAAACATAGGTAGACTACTTTCGATCCCTAATTTCTAAAGGTGGCGATAATGAACCATCAACACCAGAGGTGACAACCAAAGAAGAAATAAATATTGAGGAGGAAGAGGTAAAGAAACTATTAAGGAAATTAAAAAACAAAAAATCACCAGAAGTACTGACCAAAAAATTTACATTTCATTATATTCCGTTCAATATCAATCTAATTATATTATTAAGAGCAAAAATTGTATATAGTACCAAATCATAAAACTGCAATATATTTCGAATTTAGATTCTATTTTTGTATAATCCTGAATATAAATTTTTTCTGAAGAGTATAAAACGAAACGACAAAAACATTGGAAATTCTTAACATGGATTAAACATCACTGCAATACAATCTGGATTCACAAAATTCCATTAGTGGGAAAAAATGTAAAAACTATAAATCATAAAACTGAAAGAAAGTCCAAGAAACCTTTAATTGGAGAAATTTCAATAAATAGACATAGGGAAGAGAAATCAATAATAGAGAGACTTTGAAATAAATTATAAGCTTGCTGGTCATGTTTATCCATTATTGTAAGGCATATATATATATATATATATATATATATATATATATATATATATATATATATAATATGATTTCTTCTTTTGACTCTTAATTAGATTCAGATATATCTGGGTATCTAATTAAATGGAACCTGCCTTAATAGTGCCTTATTATTTTGTACAAAAGTTTTTATCAATCGGCAGTGTCTCTATTTAGCGTTTCAAGATTTTTTGGTAATACTGGCTTATAGGCGATTCCAAATGGTCGCAAATGATAAATCATATACTCCATGGCGTACATCATACTAGGCTCGATGTAATGGAAAGATACGGCGTTATCCGAACAACAATCCATTCCCTAAAAAGATAGAATAAATAACCATTAAATATTTGCTTAGTTCAGTAAGGATATGTACAAAAGGTTTTGACCGATAAAAGAACCCACCACTCGTCTGAGTGATCCTTAATATATATATATATATATATATATATATATATATATATATATATATATATCTATATTCCCGAAAGTAAAACGAATGTGTCCTAAATCTTGACCACTGCAGTGGTTAGCGTACAGAGGTGTCATTGACTTTGATGAACGAAAACGATAACGAAATCTGCAAAAGATTGTATCTGTTAGCAAAAGCTGCTATCGCTTTGTTGAAATGAATAGCCAAATATATGATCTAGGAGAGGACACATTTGTTAAACTTTCCATGCTCGAATCGGTCTCAATAGAGTGTTATAACATCATTTTAGCAACCCTACTTCATCAAATACTCGGGCTGATACAAATAACAACTCGACTGTCAACTCGAAAGTTCAACGACTGTCCCCCAAATTTTTACCACTACAGGATGACGGAAGATAACGAATGGATGACGGACGAAATTATGGATCTAATGGAAAAGCGCAGGCAACATAAACAACAACGTAATCAAAACAAATACAAACAGATACACAAAGAAATCCGTCAGAAAATTAAGAAAGCAAAAGAACGTTGGATGGTGGAAAGGTGCAACGAAATAGAACAATTGCAGGAAAAAGGAGATAGTTTTGGACTACATAAGAAGATCAAAGAAATATCGAATATACACAACAGCCACCACAGAACAAGAATACGCAACGACAGAAACGAATACATAGAGTCAGAAGAAGAGATAGCAATGGCGTGGAAAGAATACGCAGAAAGCCTTTTTAATGACGAAAGACCAACACAACCACCGCGCAAACTTCCTTCCGAAAACTTATCAGGGCCATCAATAATGCGAAGTGAAATAGAATATGCAGTTAGAACCACAAAGATGCGTAAAGCAACAGGTCCAGATGAAATTAATATAGAAGCAATAAAACTACTAGACGAGGAGAATATCGAAATCTTGGTAAGGCTGTTCAATACAATTTATGATACTGGTTACATTCCGCGAGAATGGCTGCAGTCATCCTTTGTGATGATCCCAAAAACAGCTAATGCCGCAAAATGCAATGAACACCGCTTAATCAGTTTAATGAGTCACTTGAAACTATTCCTTAGGATATTACACTCAAGAATGTATAAGATACTAGAAGAACTTAGCGGGTCAACACAATTCGGTTTTAAGGGAGGACTAGGAACAAGAGAGGCAATTTTATGTTTGAACACCTTAATACAAAACTGCTTAGATCAACGAAAAGATGTCTACCTCACCTTCATCGACTACGAGAAGGCATTTGACAATGTTAAACATGATATCATGATGGAACTACTACATAGGGCCAACATTGACCAGAAGGAGATCAGAATTATTCAGAATCTATACTGGAACCAAATGGCAAAGGTGAGGATTGATCAAGACCAATATACGGATGAATTTGAAATCCGGAAAGGTGTCCGCCAAGGCTGCATACTCTCTCCGATGCTTTTTAATTTATATGTTGAAAATATATTTGCGGAAGCATTAAAAGATACGGAATTAGGCATTAAGGTGAACGGCATACCAATTAGCAACCTAGGCTATGCGGACGACACAGTGATTATAACTGATAATTTGGAAGATCAGCAGTTATTACTTGATAGGGTGAATAGCATAGGTAAAAAATATGGCCTCAAAATCAACATTTTGAAAACGAAATATATGGTCATTAGAAGAAACCCTCCAGAAAACCCGATATTATGCATAGGTGACAATCGTATAAATCGCGTGAAAACTTTTAAATACCTTGGCACCACAATCAATGACCAATCGGATCCACAACACGAGATAAAAACCCGAATACAAATGGCAAGACAAGCTTTTGTGAAATTCAGACCGCTCCTATGTAATCAACACCTAAACTTCGAAATACGCTACAGAATGGTCAAGTGCTACATATGGTCCATCTTGCTTTATGGCATGGAAACGTGGACTTTGAAAAAAACATCTATCAACAAACTTGAAGCATTTGAAATGTGGTCATTGAGAAGAATGATGCGCATACCTTGGGTGGATAGATTTCGAAACTATGACGTCCTTAATAGAGCCGGCGTGGAAAGAGAACTCTTTGAATTAATTAAAAAACGCAAGATTGGTTACCTTGGGCACATATTGAGAGGAGCAAAATATGAAATACCACAGTTAATCCTACAAGGGAAGATCGAAGGTAGGAGAGGAGCTGGCCGCAAACAATTGTCCTGGTTAAGGAATATTAAAGAATGGACAGGAATACACAATACAGGTGAGCTGTGTCACGTCGCCAAGAACAGAATTCTAGTAATGAGATAGTCGCCTACGCACTTTGGTGTATGACATGTTAAGAAGAAGAAGGGCTGTAAGAAACGTGCAAAATATTAAATTTTTAAGAAAAAGCTGCTATCGCTTTGTTAAATTGAAAAGGTAAAGATTTAGGAGACATTCTTTGGTAAAGATTTGGGAGATATTCGTTAGACCTTCCTATTCGTGAGAGTTCGAATTTTTGTCAGCTCGAGTGTCTGACGAAGCAGGCATGCTGAAATGACATCATAACACTCTATTGATACCGATTCAAGCACTTGAAGTTTAACGAATTTGCCCTCTCACGCCATTTGGCTATTTAATTCAACAATGCGATAGCAGTTTTTCTAAAAGATTTAATCTTTTGCACATTTCGTATTAATAATTTGTAATAATATTCAAAAATAGTTCAAACGATGATATTTACCTGAGTTTCATTATAATAAATATATTGCCAGTACCAAAAATTTTTATCGACATGTCCAGGAATTAAGTGATGGCTGGGGGCAAAAGGGAAAAATCTTCCTCTAAGTTCAGGATCTCGACCATCACCTGCAGCTACGTCGGCTGCTTGTAAACACTTTCCCATTTCTACATCTTCTGCACCCTCATTGTCTTGTCTACACTTCTCTTTATCTGGCAATGCTTTCTAAAATGTTAAAAGTAATCTAAAAAATTACTAGGAAAATAATATAAATAGTATCCATTAAGAATTGACAAAATAATACTTTGATATAAGGTTGAATGCTGGAATAAATTTACGAATAAATGACGAACGAACGGTAAGACTCGTGTGGGAGGAAGTTCCAACTGGAACGAGACCACGCCGACTTCCTCGTCTCCGGTGGCGAGAAAATATAGCAGGAGACCTAAGCAATTATGGGCGTGGAGAATTGGTTGGAGATTGCTCAAGACAAAAAACTGTGGAGACATGTTGTCGAGTTGGCTAAAACCCACGAAGGGTTGTAACGCCACGGAGTAAGTAAGTAAGTAAGTATATATATATATATATATATATATATATATATATATATATATATATATATATATAAGGTTCTTGAACTCCTAAGTGGAGCATAGAGCTTCAGTGAAAACGCGCCATCGGGTTCTATTTTGCGCTAAGGCCTTCACCTCATTCCAAGACTTTCCTTGTTTTCTTATCTCGTCCATGATGGATCTTCTCCAAGTTTGTACTGGGCGACCTTTTTTTCGTTTTCCTTGGGGATTCCACTCTAGGGCAGTCTTTGCAATACTGGAGTTATTTTTTCGGAGTGTGTGACCGATCCAACCCCACTTTCTGGACTTTATTTCATTTACTACCCTCTTTTGTTTGGTCAGGTGTAGTAAGTCTTCGTTTCTGATGATGTTAGGCCAGAAAATACGAACAATTCTTCGTAGACATTTATTAACAAAGACCTGCAGTTTGTCTGTAAGGGTTTTTGTCGCTTTCCAGGTTTCACATCCGTAAAGTAGTACAGACATGACATTTGACTGGAATATGCGGATCTTTGTCCTCGTAGTGTATTCTCCAGACCTCCAAACAGGGTTGAGCATGCTGAAAGCTTGTTGCGCTTTTCGTATCCTCATACGAATATCGTCTTCTGTACCTCCGCTTTCTGTTATGACACTTCCAAGATACGTAAAGTTTTCCACATTTTCAATCTGCATGTTATTAATGGTGAATAGCGTGTTGTTTCTTGCATTTATTCTCATGGATTTGGTTTTACCAATATTGATTTTCAAACCTATTTTATTGGCTTCAGTGGAAAGTGTTTCCAATTGGTCAGCCACATCTTGGAACCTTTGTCCTAACAAAGTCCTAAGTAAGTAAGTAAGCTGGAATAAATGAACTTTGATAAAATGAAAGGCAGATATCGAGAACAATTTTATTAATTCAATCTTGCCCAAGTACTTTCGCTTTGTAAAGCATAATCAGGGGCATCTGAAATAAACCAAGAAACGTTTTTGTTAAATGAAGAAATTTATTAACTTCGATAAAAAAAAAACTATGATAAAAAGAAATGTGTTCTGCACATATTAAAATTCTATGTAAGTGAGCATTAACCAAAGGTCCAACTGACACTACTATAGGAAATCAACTGATGAAGTATGGCATATAGAATATTTGAATTTTAACTAGATTGCATAATCCAGATCTCATACAATTAATTTAAATTGTAAGTTACTAAGTAACTAAATCTAGTTAAAATTAAAATAGTCTATATGTCATATTTCATCTGATTGATTGATTGATTGATTTCATTGATTTCCTATAAGTAGTGTAAGTTCGACCTTTGGTCAATGTTTACTTACATAGAATTTTAATATGTGCAAATCACATTTCTATCATTGTGACTGCCCATCCAAGCTGTCATATGTCACATGTCACCTTAATATTTCCGTTAATACCATTATCTCTCCTGTTGCCGACAAGAACGTAGCTTCGACTAATTTTAAATAATTTTAAACTGTTTGTCCTTGTTTAGTGTAGTGTTTGTACAATTTTGTGTTTAATGTTATGTTTATTACATTCTGTGCCTGTTGGATAGCCCAAAATTGATGAAGTAAGTCTAAAACGTTAATCACAAAAAAACTTTTATCATCCATTAACTTCGAGTTTTTTATCGAAGTTAATCAATTTCTTTATTAAAAAAAACGTTTCTTGGCTTATTTCAGATGCCCCTGATGATGCTTTAGAAAGCGAAAGTACTTGGGTAATATTAAATTAATAAAATTATGCTCGATATCTGCCTTTCATTTATACATTATACATTATATATTAGAAGGTACACATTATATATTAGAAGGAAAAACCTGCTTGGTACAAATCTAACACGAAGAAAAAAGGAAATAAATACAAGATAAGAGAATTTAAGAAAGAAAAGATCTACATAAATTATGATACGATTATAAAAGAGCGTAAGAAAAATAAGGAAAAATGACAGGAAGAAAAATCTAAATAAAAAGATGTAAACTGATGGTAAATGGCTCGGAATACAAATAAAAACAGAAAAGAAACAGAAAAACTCGAAGCTACAAATCCAAAAAAGTAACATCAAAAAGTAAAAATAACATGAAAATGAACAAAAATATTATGTTTGTATGGAATTAAGTCACAATTATTGGTTGTAATGAAAATCCAGCAAGCAATTCAGACACACTCTCAGGGAAGGAACAGAAGGGACTAGTATATTCTATTATATTACCTCAATAAATCTTTTTAATGCTTCTTTACTTAGTATATAACCTGCTCCTCCGCTCATGTATCCTTGTGCAACGTACGGCTTAAATCGACATCCATAGTAAATTGGCGTATCGGGACTTAATGGTAGCAACATATATCGCAGATTTTCCACAATCACATACCTGAAAAAATTAGTCATCCGTAAGTTTAATAGAGAATTTTTCCTACAGGTTTTTTGAAGCGGAGCTTCTATACTGTCGTTGTATTAATTGAAGGGGTTAGTGCAAAAAGGATATAACTGGCATTTTAAAAATTTTTGAGTTAAGGGTAGAAAATAATACTAGAGTGTATGTTCTTTCATAGCAAAAACGATATAAGCGTGTTTAGTTACTTCTGGTGTCATCTATTAATTGGTAGATATACCTACTTAACAATTTTTGCATAGTTGCGGGTATAATATTGCTTTTACCGTTTGGGCACTCAACATTTTATAGCACACACTGTTCAACGTACTCGTTGCGGCTAGTGCGTTTTTCATTGACATTGTGTGTCTACAAAGTTTTTGTTTACAGAATTGTTGATGTACTTTATATAAACCAAAATATATTTATTACCTTGTATTTTTGGAGATGGCTAGTAGTAGCAAAGAGGGTAAGAACAAAATCAATAATCTCAGCTTTAATTTTATGGTTATATTCCCGTTTTTTTCTAGACTATGAATCCGAGTTAGATCCTTATGAACCGAAAGAAGATGAAGAGTATCGACCAGAAGACGATGTGGTGTACAATCAGAGTCAATTTGTAAAAGAATTTGTAAATCTTGAATATATTCTGCCATGATTTCGGTATCGTCTGCAAATCTTATGTTAATAATGATGTTTCCTCCAATCCCTACACCTTCAGTTCGTTTCTATAGTGCCTCCCGCAATATTAGTTGGGAGTATACATTAAATAATTGTGGCGATAGCACACAACCCTCTCTGACTCCTCTTTGAATTTCTACTTGGTTTATCTCCACTATATTTCACCCTTACGACCGCTGCTTGATTGTAGTATAGATTTTTGATGAAATTAATAACTATTAGCTCTATTATGTTTAGATGGGAAACTATTAGTTTAAATTACATTCAGGAAACGGCGTTGAAAAAGACTCGGAAAGACGACTCTTATAGAAGAAAGTGGTTCCTGAGATACAAGTGGTCAAAGTTGATCGGTATTTGCGATGAAGATACTTATAATGGGATGATAATCTTTAAACCATTACCTTTATCTTTCGGAGCTATTTCTCGATAAAAATTTTCATATTTTATCTTCAAATTATTTATAATATATATATATATATATATATATATTAAAGTAATAAAAACCATCGTCATTGCGCATGAAAAAAAAACAAAAAAAAATATAATCCACAAGGAATCTAAGTTCCTGTAGTTGGCTGTATACCATGTATCACAAAAAACATTTTATTAAAAATCCTTTATAAAAGGTATATAATTCAAAAACCCAATCGAGCTATATCACAAAACGTTTTGGATATCTATGTTCCATCATGTGTCTAGGTGTACATGTATTGAGCCACTAAATATCTGGGTAAAAACCGCTAAAAGTTCATCATCATCATCTTTGGCTCGACAATCCTCTGTGGATCTTGGTCTGCTCTAAGATTCGTCGCCATTCTGTTCGGTTTTTGGCAACATGTTGCCATCTTCTGATTTTTAATATTCGTAAGTCGGTTTCTACTTCATCTAACCACCTAATTCGCGGTCGGCCTTTAATTCTTTTTCCTACAGGTGTTCCTGTGGTTAGCTTTTTAGCAATGGTATTTTCTGGCATTTATATTATGTGTCCAGCCCATCTTAGTCGCTGTGTTTTAATGAACGTTATGACATCTGGCTCATCAAAGAGCTGATACAATTCAAAATTATATCTTCTGCGCCACTGCCCTTGGTCGTTTACAGCTCCAAATATTTTGCGGAGTATTTTACGCTCAAATATTCCCAAAAGTCTTTCATCTTTCTGCGTTAGTGTCCATGTTTCTGCTTCATATGTGAGGACCGGCCTCAGCAATGTTTTGTATATAATAATTTTAGTTCTTCTTTGAATGTTTCTTGAGTGGAAATGCTTTTGGAGTCCATAGTATGCCCTATTTGTAAGATTTATTCGTCTTTTGATTTCTTCGCTTGTTTTATTGGTAGCAGTCAATAGCGACCCAAGGTATGTGAAGTTGTCAACACGTCCAAAGGTATGACTTCCAAAGACTGTTTCTCGTTCCTCATTTGCTATCGGATCCTTTATAACCAACATGTACTTGGTTTTGTCTTCGTTGATGACTAGACCGACCTGTTTCGCCGCTGTTTCCAATTCTAGAAGATATTGCTCAACATCTCGCTTGCTACGGCCTACTATGTCAATGTCATCAGCATATGCTAAGACTTGTATCGATCTATTGTAAATAGTACCGCCATCCATAATTCTCCAGAGCATCTCCTTGTCTGAGTCCATCCTTTATCTCAAAGGATCTAGAACTCTCTCCCTGTATTCTAACAGTGGCTTCTAAGTTAGACATTGCCATTCTCGTTAGTCGGATAAGTTTCTCTGGTATACCAAACTCATGCATTAATTGGTATAGCACTGTTCTCTTGACACTGTCGTATGCGGCCTTGAAGTCGACGAATAGGTGATGGGTTTCAATATTGAATTCTAATGTTTTCTCGAGAATCTGTCTTATTGAATGAATCTGGTCAATTGTTGATTTTTCTGGAGTTAATCCAACTTGATATTTACCAACTATGCCCACTGTGTAAACTTGCAACCTTTCGTAGAGAATAATTGCTAGTATTTTGTAAGCAGTTGTTAACAGGGTTATACCTCTATAGTTGTCACACTAGAGCTGGTCACCTTTTTTATGTAACGGGCATATCACGCCTTGAGACCATTCACAAGGCATGGTCTCATTATGCCAAACAAGAAGTAAAAGCTTATACAGTGTGTGTAGTAGGGCATCGCCACCATTCTTGTAGAGCCTACTGCAAATTTGATCAACTCCTGGTGATTTATTATTTTTAAGCTTTTTAATGGCTTGGGCAACGTTTTCGATGGTAGGTGGTCTTTCGTTTGGGTTGAAAGGATTCCAATCATTTCGATTTGCTAGGGTGTTGTCTGCTTCTTCGATATGATGGCCATTAAATTTTGCATCGAAAAATTCAACCCATCTGTTTAGGATTGAGGCCGTATCATTTAGGATATTTCCTTCTACATCCTTACAGCTCCTTATTCTTGGCTTAAACTCTTTGCGCATTTTGTTTAGATTTCTGTAGAACTTTCGAGTTTCATTTTGATTTCTTAGCCATTCTGTGCTTTCCAATTGCTTTTGCTCAAATTGTCTTTTTTTTCTTCTATGTAATCGTTTTTCTTCTCTTCTTAGTGTCCGGTATTCTTCCTTTACTCTTTTTGTACATCCAGCTTGATTTGTCTTTAGGTATGCCCTGTTTTTGTTATCTATTGCTTCTTGGCACTCCTTGTCAAACCATTCTTTTTCTTTAACTGGTTTGGTTTTCCCCATTATTTTTGTTGCTTTCTCAGTTATTATGTTTTTACATTTTGTCCACAGTTCCTCTACATTTTCCCCCACCTCCAGGCTCTCCATTTCCTCGTCCATTTGTCTCCTATACTCTCTCGCAACGGTTTCAATGCGCAGATTATCAACATTAATTCTGTCTTGTTTCGTGTGTTTATCTTTCTTTAGGTTTGATATTCTTCCTCTGATTTTTGCAATTACAAGAAAGTGGTCACTGTCAATGTTTGGGCCTAGGTAGCTTCTGACGTCTATGAGATCGGAAGAGTGCCTTGCATCTATCAGGATGTGATCTATCTGGTTAATGGTTTCGTTATCAGGGGATTTCCATGTTCCTTTGTGTATCATTTTATGGGGAAATCTTGTTCCTCCTACTATCATGTTTTTAGTACTTGCAAAGTTTATTAGTCTCAACCCATTATCATTTGACTCTTCATGTAAGCTCTCACGTCCTAGCGCTAAAAGTTATCTGTTTAAATTTAGTTTACATTATTTGGCATTATGTTAAAATTACCAGTGGATTTGGTTACATGGCGACGTATGAAGTTGCTGGTCTTGAGACAAAGTGTCTACGAGGACTTGATGATAGCAACAAAAAAATAGGTTAAAACAAATTCAATTTCAAATATCAAAATCGGTATACGTAAAATAATGTATTCTCTCCGCTTGCAATAAAGCAATTTTTTTATTTTTTTTTAATCCAACGTAATTCGAACAGTGCAATCTAAAAAACACATTACCAAATGCCGGTGATGCTTTCGTTTTTTTATAAATAAATAAATTTATTTATACTCCAGTCTTCAGAGATGAAAATGCCACTGAACCTCTAAAAATCATACGAACAAGCTGAATTTATTTGAGAATGTTAATTTTGGGACCCCAAAAATATACAAAAAAGTTTATTATTCTTACCCTCCGGCTTCCCCCTAAAACCAGCCGCCCTCGTAGGGGAAAAATGATAAAAATCGATTTACCAATAATTGGTGCATCGTAGAAAAAAATATTTCTAAAAAAAATGTAGCTGATAAAATTTAGAACAAGAATATTTATTAGTACTTTTTATGTAAAATAAACCGTTTTCTCAAAAACATGGCTTTAAGCGACCCTGCTACAAAGCGATTTGTATCAATTAGACGGTAAAAATTCGATATATTTTGATCAGTATCCAATCGACACTTAGAAATCAAGAAGCATTTTAAATATGAAGAATTCAGCTTTCTTATCTAATTTTCGAATTTTGCCGCAATTAAAGTCAGATTATATAAAAGTGTTAAATAAATAAACGTTGCCACTGACAGGAGGATTTGCCGATCAAGGATCAAAACTGTTCCTGGCCTTTGCTGATGATATAGATGTAGTCACGAATTCTACAAGAGACGTGAGAGAGGTGTTTTCACAGTTCGATGAGGAAACAGCTAGTCTGGGTCTCCGGATATATAAAGAAAAGACGAAGTACATGGTAGTAACTAAAAATCCAAGACCAAGAGTTAGGCAGAACATCAGTATTAATGATCACAACTTCGAAGTAGTAAAGGAGTTTAAATACCTGGGGGTGATAATCACAGCTGACAACCACATAAAAAAAGAGGTCTCAGCAAGGGTAGCTGCGGGAAATAGAGCATTATACTCCCTTTCAAAATTATTAAGATCGAAGCTGTTAAAAAAAATCTAAATTAACACTGTACAAGTCGATTATTCGCCCAATTATTACATATGGCAGTGAAACATGGACTCTCAACCAGCGGAAATCAATAAGTTTCTAGTATTTGAAAGAAAGGTTCTCAGAATAATATTTGGCCCTCAAAGAGAAAAATTAACAGAGGATTAACATGAGGAGAAGAAGACGCCACAATGCTGAATTGGTGACTCTGTATGGAACTGGAAAATGGACATATCAAGGCAAACCAAATAAGATGGGCAGGTCACGTGATACGATCCGAAGATAACAGAGTGTTACAGACAGCGTTTTTTGAAAGACCAGATGGTAGAAGATCAGTAGGCCGACCGAGAAAAAGATGGAAGGATGATGTTGCGCCGATATATCTAGAATTGGGGTACAACAATGGGAAATAGAAGCGCAAGATCGTAGAGGGTGGAGGGCAATAGTGGATGCGGCGAAGACTCATCCCGAGTTGTAAAACCAGTGAAGAAGAAGAAGACATCTCCATTACCTGGTCACTATGGAATTTCCATGAATTTGCGATTTTAATTTTTGGCAACAAATGTGAGACATTTCAAAGATACCTAATCAACCCTGAATTTTTCAACTTTCACATAATAAACGATTGCACGTTACGTAAAATACTTTTACAAAGCCGGCAATGCTATTAACATAAATAATATTTTAATATTTTATTTATTTGGTGGCATTTTAAAATTTAACAATATCTATATTTCTGTTAAATATGTTGTTGATTTTTCTATGATCGATGCAACAATCTAGCATATAATCCGAAAGGGGAATATAAGATATAACTTACGTATCATCGTCGGCTTTCATAAACCAATCAGCGTCATTTATGTGGTTATCGTAAACATATTTAAAAGCAGCTTTGGTTTTAGCCCACAGATTATTTCTTCCTTCACTTACGTTCAATGGTATTGCCGGTAGATTTTCATCTAAAACAACAGATTAGAGAATGTAAATAAAATAACTCAAAGAAAAAAATATTATGGTATATTATTATGTAAGAAGAGGAATACAAATGTCATCTGGGGCCTTAGTCATGGACTAATACACACCACGATGCGCATTCGCCCCACCTTAAAATATCTTCGATTTTTTCTATTGGCTGAGTGATCTGAAAATGCCATATAGAAACATAAATATGCGACATTTTCAACTCTCGGTAAACATCGACCTTCCATTTTCATTAGTTAGACTTCCATCCATTCATATGTTACTCAACGTAAAATCACGGTAAAGATGCGAGGTCATTTCTTGGCCTCTTTTACTCCCACAACAGTAGTTCCACAAGGTTCCGTGATGGGACCTGTACTCTACACCATATATAATAGAGATTTCCCTAACCCACAAGACACTCGTACCCTCACTTTACTCTACGCAGATGACACTGCTCTCGTAACAACATCTCGAGACGCAGATGCACTACTTAGATTAGCTCAAAATCACCTTAACCTGGTCGATAGGTGGTGTGGAAGATGGACAGTAACACCTCACCTCTTAATAAAACTCAAATGATTCTCTTTAGACACCTCAATTTTAACAGATTCACTGCATACACTGTAGCCAGAAAAATCGACCTCAGACTCTGGGGCAACCGACATCAACTCACAAACATACATATGTAACCAGATTGAGTACCTCGGTGTGTTGTGTACAGAAACACTAAGCTGGGGGGCCGATCTGGCTGCAGCCTCTAACAGGATAAGGAGAAGAGTTGGTCTACTCAATGTCTTCTGTGGTAAGTTCGGACGGACACCCACTCACACGTACAAAACATTCATCAGGCCGGTGATTTATTATAGGTCTAATCTTTATATCATGTTCAATCGTCGCCTCGCACAACAACCCTACCTCTCCGCCCTTAATCATCAACTGTCGAATATCCAACCCTATAAATGAGAGGCTCTCTTCTTTGAGCAGGATTTTTACAATCAAAACCATCCATGGCCAAAACTTCAAAATATCATCAAAACTACCTGCTCATCCTTCAGCAATGTATTCAACAGACACCTAAACTCCCATTCCAACCCACTAAATTGCTGACTCTTGCAAGCAACGAACTTCCTGATAAATACATTGATATCCTGGAGGCATTTCCACTCTATTATCGCCGTAATTATTAAATTACTCACTTCGAGCTTGCTATAACAGGGAGGGATCGGTTTTTGTGGTTTCCCGATCCCATTGCATAATTATACCTGTCTATTGTCGAGACTACACACAGCTGCCCTCACCGTAATTCATAAATTTTATATAATTAAATTTTCTAATTAAATTCGGTCATATTTAAATTAAATTCAATAATAACCAAATAATTTTTACTAATAAAATTCTGAAAAGGACCATTTTAGCTCAATATCCCTTTCACCTCTGACCACCCTGGATACCACCTCCTCCGCAGGACTACAGCCACCGAGGCGTACCACCAGTGAGCACAATGCAGCGACACAGGTCGACACCAATAAAAACAAACCACGTCCTAAAGAGGTGTCCCCCTTAAAACAGGACAACAAAATCATCAACAAAGAAAACCAACAAACAGAAAAAAACAACGAGACAATGATCGACTCTCGGCAAGTCTGGTCTCGGCTCCCAAATTTATTTTCCATGTAAGAAAGATTGTGTATCCACCAAAGATGGAGTACACGCTGAAGACACTTCGAATAGACTGGTCTAAGTCTCTCTGTAAGGCACCGTGGGAATGAATAAGTAAATTTTATGTATTAGATAATTAAAATCTAAGATAATGACGCATTGTATGCAGGGTATCCAGAAATTCTTCTGACAAACGAAGACCGGAGATTCTTCAGATAATTTTAAAACAATTAACTCAATTTACATAGTCCAAAAATGCTTCCTAAGGGAGTTAGAGCTCTTTGAAGATCTCAGAACTCTTCTACATATAAAGAAAAATAAAAACAGGTACCATTATTTATCATCTAGAGTTAAATCAATTCCATTAATTGCCAATTTCTAGTCCCGGTTCAAGTGTCCGATTTAGGTAGGTCAACGGTTATTTTAACGCATATTCTTTTGGTTTTTAACTTTTAAGAATTCGTGATACTAGTTTCTTAGATTTTCAGGTATTCTAGTATTAAAAGGTACTATTATTTAAAGTTGGTAGGATACACCGTTTTCGAGAAAAATCGATTTGAAAATTTTTCGTTTTTTGCCATGAAAGTTAAATTTCATTTTTAGTTTTCTTTTAGTTTTCTCTTTTTATTTTTTTCTACTTAGTAGTAGAAAGAAGTTTCTCTTTTAGTTTTTACTTTGTGACATTCAAACACAATAATTTCAATTAAAAAAATGGTTTTTACTAATGAGGAATACGCTAATATACATTTTGTTTATTGCTAAATAAAGTATAACGCTTGAGCAGTAAAGCCGATACGCTGAAAACTTTTCCGACTAAGAGAAATGAAACAGTTCAGTGTTCCCAAGTTATAATGAAATAGAGCGACATAATGATGTAACAGCACATCAAGATGTAACTTTAACGGAAATTGAGAAAAAATTGGAAATTAGCATTCGAAGACTAACCGTCATGAATCCCAGAATTTCAAAATCTTTCTCAAGAAATATCTTACTCAACGAAAATTTATATCTGTTCATTTGACAAAGGTACAAGCACTGCTACAAGTATATTTTAGAGAGTTATTAAAAAAAACTACTTACAGTGCGCCATCTTCCAAGCTTTAGCTCCATTAGGAAGCATTTTCGGACTAGGAAAATTGGGTTAAATTGTCTAAAAATTATCCAAGGAATCTCCGGTTTTCGTTTGCCAGGAGAGTTTCTGGACACCCTGTATAGGTACATTCTAATTTTTAAATATATTTTGTTTTTCTCTAATTACAATATAAATTTACTGATTCATTTTTGCATTACCCGCAAGAACCGTATATCTGATGCGGGCTTACCGGAAATCTGTAAAACCTTTCGTTGTCGAAAATAATAATCTGAAACTGGTTTTTGTTGTATTATAGGGTCAGCTATAATTATCTTAAGTGGTTCTGGAATTTTAGATACACGTTTTCGTTGAGTTTACAATGTAAACTGAATGAATTGGGAGACCGGAACAAAGTTGAGTTTGTATGAGTACCAGGACATCAGGGCATAAAAAAACAATAAAAAACAGATCAACTTGCAAAAGATGATTGCATGAAACATGAAACAATTGCATGAAACAATTTTCATTAGTGGACAATGTACAAAAAGAACAGAGGAACTGTTTTATATGGATACGAACAAACTGAGAACAGTAACAGCAATATTGACCAGGCATGCACCCCTAAGAGAATTCCTAAATAAAAGCCTAAATAAGACCATTTTCAATGGAGACCTTAACTGCATATCCGGTGATTAGGAACCGGAAACTGTAAACATGTGTTATGCGACTGCAAAACTCTAAACTACAGAATACAAGAACTATACAAGCAACCAAAAAAAGACTCTGTTCTATTTTGGACACACCAAGCAAAAGACCTGCCCAAACTTCTTCAGGATACAAAAATTCTAGACTGCGTGTAGAAAACAACAATAAGCACCAACACAATGAGCTTCAGCTTTAGTGATAACGGATATCTTTAGAATCAGATGAACCCAGGGGAAAAATAACATACTTTTGATAATATTTACGTTACCTGCTTTTGAACTCATGAATAATAAAATATTACATCTCTTTCCCCATGTTGCCTTTACATGTTTTGCTTTTTTCTCATGGTTGCTTGGTCCAGTCATAATCCAACATAATATTCGTACCTAAAATAAGAGATATTTTAAGATCTGCTTAAGATATGCATCAAAATATAATATTAGGATAGGGGTTCTCAACCTTTGGTATATATACCACTGGTGGTACATATCATGTAAAACACAGCCAAAATCAGCACCGCATAAAATAATACAAAAAAAAATTAAAATGGTATTTTATGTTACAAATTCAGTACGTAACTATGAAACTTTGGTTGGGTTCATAGACGAATGCTGAAGATACCTTGGACAGCAAGAAAAACTAATGAAGAAGTATTAAGGAGCATCAACAAAGACAGAGAACTGCTAGAGACTGTTAAACATCGAAAAATGTCTGAGACATATAGTAAGGGGAAGTCGATATAAAATTTTACAACTGATCCTTAAAGGCAAAATAGAGGGCCGTAGGAAAAAAACAAGTTTCTTGGTTAAAAAACATTCGTGAATGGACTCAGATACCAAATGCAGGACAATTATTTCATATTGCAGAAGATCGAGAAGCCTTCGCAATGGTGATCGCCAAAGTCGGATAGTTTTGATATGGCACGCGAAGAAAAAGAACTATAAAACTGAATATGGGAGCATAGTCGAAATTCCGGTCACGCCGGCAATACTGATTGAGAAATCACAAAGTAATCGCCAATCACCTTTAGTGGGTTTAGTAGGTATTTGACTTGTTATTTAAGTAGTTGTATACATAAGTAAGCTTACGCTAGCTGCATACCTTATTATTCTGATTATAAAGCAGTAGATGCATGGTTAAATAGACCCGTAGAAGGTGTAGAAGAATGATTTGTTTAAGAAGCAAGTGATTTACCATGTACGTCAAGCAAGGTAACAAACGTTGATTAAAACTTAAATCTTAAAAAATCAGTTACCATATAAATTGCTACCGAAGCTATTTAGCTACCAGCAACTAAAGACATCGTAATTTATGTTTTGGGGAAAAAGGCCACCAACCAATTGAATTCTATTACAAAACATAGTTTGGATTGGATGAGGTTCGTGGGAGTATGTTCAGATGGTGCACGTGCAACGATAGGAAAACATGGAGGCGTTGTAACAAAAATTAAAGCAGTCACAATGGAATGTATATCTATTTACTGTAACATACACAGACAAGCTTTGGCAGATAAAGAGATGCCAGAAGAACTGAGGCACGTCTTGAACCACTAGGCAATCAGTAAATTTTATTAAGCCAAGAGATTTGAATTAAAGACTATTTTGGCTTTTGTGTTCGGAAATGGGAAGTATTCACAATAGTTTACTTCTGCATATAGGTTTTAGGTAGTTTTTAAGAGGAATAGTGCTATCTTGAATATTTAAGCTTAGTTCGAAGGTTCAAATATTACTAGCTAAACAAAATCTTGGACTGAAAAAGTTAACTGACCAAATTTGGTTGTGCCACTTAGCATATCTCAGTGATACATTTAACAGGATTTGAATTTAAGTTTACAAGGCAAACATACAACTTACTTTGATATTATTGATAAGGTTGAAGCATAAATATGCATTATATATTTTGGAGGTGCAGTCAAATAAAAAGTAAAAACGTCAAGAACCGCTATTCTATGAGGCTACCCGTAACTACACCATCTCGTGATGCTAGTTCTGTGACTTTCGAGTCAGCATTTTACTGTATAGAAAAAAAGTCATACAAGGCTAGTATATAAGCTTTGCTTCAAAAATTGCTTTACCTTTTTCTTAAGAGATTCTGCTAGGGACGAATCTGTCATTCGATGAAAAGTATCATTTTCTCCGTGTTCCCCTACCTCCCCTACAAGTTCAACATCACTCATTTCATCTTCATTGTGGAAATCGTGATGATGTTCTCCGGTATGTTCGTGACCATGGATTACCTATAAAAAATTCATATAAAGTTAATAAATATTAACAATAATAATTAAAAACAAAATATATTTATTTTGCAGATTTGTCCCATAACGTGTATAGTTATTACCTAGATGGATTTAAATATCAAATTTACTTTAAAATATGAATATTTTTGAGCTATTTTGTTTTCGATATATAAAATTGTTAAATTTTACAATTTTTTCTATGATATTTTACTTGATATACCATTTTCCACTTGCATTACATTCTTCACACCATTACATACAATTGAGACTACAGCGCAATGTCTGTTATAAGACGAATCGGTTGAGCCTCAAGATAATCACTGACAGAAATTTCTAAAAGTGAATGTTGGACCTTGGTCCATTATGACTCCTAGGTATTAAGCTTCGTTTTGTCATTCGATGAGTATCTCTTGCACTGTTAGTTCTTCTGGGTTATTTCTTCTCTTTTTGAAGATAACCGCTTGGGTCTTCTGTGGATTTATTGCTATGTTTTATTGGATACTCCATTCTTCTACAGACATCGTCTGTAAACTTCTTACAGCTATATCGAGGTTCCTGTGTTATGTCGCGATTGCGATGTCATACACCGCAATGATTGTATACCATCAAGGTATACAAAATGCTACTTCAGCTACACACAAATTTACTAACCTGTCTTAATTTTTTTCCATAATGGTCGTCTTTGTAGATAGTACTAGGTGCTAGTACTACAAAAGCTACCGTAAAACCCACTGCAACACCGGCAATCAAACAAAAGGTGCTCCTATCCTAAAAAAACATAAAAATATAAATTAATATAGCAATCAAGGAAAAGGTACTTCTATTATCGTTTGGGAAAGTATTTAATAATTATTTACATATTTTGCATTAATATTTTCATTAATTACTATTTAAATGGGAATAAACCACAATTAAAGGTAAAAATACGTTTATTGACGTTTCAATTTCCACTTCGGAAATCGTTCTCAAAATACAATATTTTCATTACTGCATTATAATATTATATTATTTAATTACATATTTTAATTACTTATTTACTTGAAAAGGTTACAGTATATTCTTTTAAATTTTTAGTTTCAAACCGGCTAACGCAAATGGTCATCTGTTTTTAAGTTCAAAGAAATGCACTTATTGTTAATTGCCTTGAAAACAGAGAAAACACTTTAAAATATCAAATTTTTTAATTATTTATGGAAATGATCGCGTCTTAAAAGGCCGATGTACACGCATTACAATAGCTTTTATTTATATAACGGTGAATTTGTTCCATCAACTCCCGGGCCACCTAAGAAGATTTGTTAGAGCTTTTTGCTCATATTGAGGGAAAAAGATATCTAGACTAAACATCATCGGGATGTGCACCTCTCCCGTTTAATGTGGACGACTCCTTCCTTCGCGTCGCAATGCGCCGACGTCGCTTTTCTAGCCACCCATGAGCTCAGTCGCTATTTCCTTCTTTTTCTTCCTACTTGTATGTAAGCTTTAAAGGCTGTTTCGTCTTTAATATTATCCTCCTAAATATTGTTTAAATTATCGCACAATCTTTTTCTTGGTCTGCCAATACTTCTTCGTCTATTTGGTGGCTTATCTCGTGCTACTCGTACTATCCTATCCTTTGCCAATCTACGAATGTGTTCGTTCCACTCCTGTTTCGGTTTTGTCACCCATCTATTTATGTCTTCCATATTGCATGGCTCTTCTTATGTTTTCGCTTCTATCCCTATCCAACAGACTTGATATATTCGTCGATAGGGAATATCCCTGATATTCGTCGGAGTATTTTTATCTCTGTTTTTTCTAGTAGTCCTCTCGTTTTAGATGTGTCAGGTCTTGTCTACGACGTGTATGTTAATATAGGTCTAATTGCTGCTTTATAGATTCTTGTTTTTGTGTCTTGTCTAAGGTATTTGTTCTTTCAGATAAAATCATTAAGGGATACCGCTTCTGTACTTGCTTTTAAGCTTTGTTGTCGTACTTCTTCCTTAACATCAACGTAACTAGTTATATATATTCGCAGATATTTAAACCTTGCTTCCTGCTTTATTATTTTTCCATCAATTTCGATTTTACATCATAGTGGGTATTTAGATGTTGTCAAACATTTGGGTTTTTCTGCTGATATTATCATATTGTATTTCTTGGCTGTTGTATCGCAGATGTGTGTTAATCTGTGGAGCTCGTCTTCTGTCTCGGCGATTAATGCGGCGTCGTCTGCATAACATAATATTTGGCTTTCTTTGTTCCACATTTTATCGCCACGACCTTAACATAGGGTAAACTGTGCAAATACCGGTCAGTGGGTAATGGCGGTCATCCCGATTGTGCGAAATCTATTCAATCTGGCAACCTCCTATAACTGCCAACGTGTCGCTACACTACTCTGTATTCAGATTGCTGACGAGCGTTGAGTTGGCGCAAACCATTGTCATAGAAATATTATTAACCTGTTTTCAGTGTTTTCGATCTTATTTTTATGCTGAGTAATATAAGGTCTTAATTCATTTTTATTCACTTGTAGATCTTAAAATTGGTTACAATTGATTATAATGACGTTAGCTGCCTATTCCTTTTTTAAAGATCAATATTTTAATACATGTTTACGAGTAAAAAATTCTAAGAAAAAAAATGCCAACAGGAGGCAATGCCAGTCAGTTGACCGGTATTACCCCCATGCTATAATTTATACCCTATACTATTAATCCTTAGGGATTAATCCATCCATTTTTCGACATTGCAAGAAAGAATAAAAAATAAAAATCTTCAAGGTGTCTCATTAGGTAGAAAATCAGTATTTTCTGCCGAACAAGAAGCTAAAATAGCCACACAAAAAAAATATTTAGCTTAATTTTTTATGGCGTAACAGCAATAGAACGGAGAAAATTAGCATTTGGGTTTACAAGATAATTTTTCTTGTAATAAAACAACTTTTTCTTGTAATTGGCATTACAAGAAAAAGGTGTTTGATTCTAGTTCTTTGGAATCGGATATTGATATATCATGTGATAACAGTGACGATGCATACGAAGATAGATGCCTGGTTTACAACGAGTTTGGCAAAAACAATGAATTGTGGTATATATTTACCGTTTGCTCACGATGGGCTTATTCAGAGTGCAGTGGATGGGATTCTGCAGAGAGTTATACTTGCGATGACTGTCAACTATTTTTTACATTAAAACACATATTTTTGTTATTTTTTGTTTGTTTTGTAATAAAAAATATTTTTTCACCTTTCTTACTGATTTACTTGAATTATGACCCATTAAGCCACATTCGTTAATCGTTTTATAACAAAAAAATGTTAAATAGATATTGATTTTTATTTTAATAATAACACAAACAAATTGACTGGCATTACCCACACTCATGACCGGTTTTGTCCATGTATGGTGACAATACCGGTCAAAGATACTTTTTTATGTTTTGTCTCTGTCGAAGACAAAAATTTTATATTTTTGAAATTAAATGTATCTTGCAATAAGTTAAAACCCCAAATTACGGATTGACGACTTAAATTTGATTCACAGAGTTTTACTTTTTTTTATATTAAATTTTCTTCTTAGGTGACCGCGATTTGCACACTTTACCCTACTGCTTGTATTATTTCGTCCATTATTATATTAAAAAGAAGTAGCTTAACGAATCATCCTGTCTGATTTCGCTTTGTACTGGTATACACTGTGTTAGTTTTCCATTTATTTTTGCCTGTATTCGATTATGGAAGTAGATGTTTTCAATGGTTTGTATATTATTGATCAGTATATTTCTTTTATACAATAGGTGTAGGACATCTTCGACTTGAATGAGATCGAAAGTTTTTGTCAAGTCTATAAAACATAGATATGCTGGTTTATTGTACTTAAAGACTTTTCTGTGAATTGTCTTACCACAAATACGGCGTCTACACAGGATATTCTGGATCTAGATCCTTGTTGTTCGTCTGATAAAGTTTTTAGTTTATTGATTATGTTGGTTAGGACTGTTATGGCAAGCTTAAGTGCGGTGTTCAGTAGATTTATACCTCTATAATTTTTGGGGTCTTCTTTATCTCCTTTTTTGAAAATTGGTATTATTATGCTGCCTCTCCATGCGTCTGGTATCGTGCAGTGCAATATTTGTTTGTGTATAAGTTTGTCATCTCATAGGGTTATACTTTCTCCTCCGTGTTTTAGAAGATCGTTGGTTATTCCGTCTGGTCCTGGTGACTTTCTATTTTTGAGTGAATTTATGGCTTTTTCTACTTTTGATTTCTATTTCATGTCCTAATTCAGTACCGCTATTGTGTTGATTATTACTTTCCTTTTCTTTAAACAGTTCCATCAGGTATCTTTCGCATTCGTTTGCTGGTATGTTATTGAATTCCCTCAATTCTGACATTTCTTTCCATTGGACCTTTTTCTCCATATGTGTTTTTGTGTACCGTAGAAGTCGCTTTCCATCCTTTTTGTAAACTGTTGTCAGTGTCATTTTTTGTTCTTCTGACCAACTGCTTTGTTTCGGTATTCTGGAGTATTTGATGTTTTGTACTTTGTGTAGGCCTCTCGTTTCTCGTTACATTTCTCTTTTATTTCTTTTCTGACCCATGGTGTATTGTTGTTGTTTCTTTTGTTCAGTTTGATTTTGCGTTTTTCTGTAAGTTCTGCAGAACTGCACTTTGCAGTTCTCTTACTGTAATCCACAGTTCACCTTGATGCTTTTTATGATCTTCACGAGGAAGTCGATAAAAAGTGCAACCACTTTTACTATTACTGTAGCAGTTTGCGAAGCAACAAATATAATATAAATACCGTACTGCGACTGTTGGCTAGTAAAGTCGTCTATCATATGCTATACAACGTGACATCGGTGTTTGTAGGTTATTTGGTTCACATTATTAGTTATAAGTATATTAAGTTTGTGTTTAAAAGGAAAACTACTGTAAGTAAATTTTGATTTTTTGAATATTTCTGCCCCGGACCAATGTCCGGGGAAAACAACTCATCCACCAGCGGCAAGGGGCCGCCGAATGGTAAATTTAATAAAGATAGTCGAGTCAACGTTCTTGTTGAGGATATCATTGTACCTGAAGATATTAATATGAGTTCATGTATAAACAATAAAAATAATCAATTAAATGAATTATCTAGTACAGATACACTCGACAAAAACTTGAAATCCGACAAAAACTCGTATAATGATAAACAACGTTTATTAAATCAATTAACAAATAGATTTAAACCTAACGATTTGGGACCGTTTTATGTTTTTGTTGAACAGTTAGAATTAAATATTGGGAGATTACATCCAATGAAATTGGGTGAAAAGTTAATAAATCTAAAAGAGTATGATAAAAATATTATTGAAATTAGTACGGTTGGTCGCAATCGTATAAAAATCGAACTAAATTCGGGCAGTATTGCCAATAAGTTAGTTAAAGATCCATTCTTTGAAAAGAATAATTTACTGGCATATATTCCTGGTCATCTTATAGAAAAACGCGGGTTAGTCCGATCTGTAGATACTTCCTACAGCGAGGAGGCCCTCCTACAAATGATTAGTTCTAGTGTACCTATCAAAAAAGTAAAACGCATGACTAGAATTATCCAAAAAGACAACAATATGGAACATGTTTCTCGTCAAATGATCATTGTTACGTTTGAAGGAAAACTTCTCCTCAATTCCTCAATTTATTTATATTAACAAAGTTAGATGCTCTGTAGAAACTTATATTAATCCAGTTATGCAATGTTTTCGTTGTCTCCGATATGGCCATTCCGGCTCACAGTGTA